TTTAACCTTTCTCTGAATCACTTTAAGGTCGTATTTTCAATACCTATATAACGCATTGGATATCTGCCAATTCTTACACGTGTCATGAATTACCTATAACGTCAGTTCTCAAATAAGTCGCTTTGTAATATACCTATCTTTTTCATTCGCTTTGATAAAACAGAGACAGAGATATATGACTGGTATGTATGGTCGAATACAACATTTACCTGAACAGTTCGACTCTTCAATTAGAACTGAGAGACTTTGCCTAATCTAATAAAACAAACAAAATTACTTCCAACACAAACATTTGTTTAGTAAAATTAGCGCCATTGACAATATTTACTTTCAAAACAAACACCGAAGCATATGACCTAGAAAAAGATAAGCTAATGTTTATGCACGCCTGGTACAAAAATATTAAATTCCTTACATAATCCGTAATTAAATCAGTTAGTTTGTAAACTGACGACAGTAATACCACTCTCAACAGTTTACAATCTAACGAAATTCAATCGACATATTGTGAATTATGAACACGTTTGTCAAGATCAAATAAATGATTTAAAATCAACGATCACGTGACGTGAACGACACGATATCGGCTGTAAAAATATTAAACACTGGCATTAGATAATCTTTTATTGGTAACTAGCTGTTGCTCGCGACTTCGCCCGCGTGAAATAAAAAAAATATAGCCTATGTTACTCATAGATAAATTACATTTCTAACGGTAAAAGAATTTTTAAAATCGGCCCAGTAATTTTTGAGTTATTTCAATACATACAAAAATACAAATCTTTCCTCTTTATAATATTAGTATAGAATAGCTTTTGCCCGCGACTCCGTCCGCGTGGAATTAAGAAAAACAAGCAAATAACCCGTGATCTTCCAGACTATCCAATACATTTATGGAAACATCGAGATCCGTTCAGCAGTTAAGGCTACAAACTCTAACAAAAATCCATCTAAACTTTCGCATTTATAATATTAGTAAGATTTACTACGCAGATGTACTCGACAATTCTATTATCCATGTATTTACATATGTGTATATTTACATAATGGATAATACAGAACCACGTATATTTACAATAAAATTAGACCAAATACATTGTTAATAGCTATTCCCTCAATAGTATGTTGTAAGTCTTTGACTTTAAAGAGACAGGACCTGTGCGACGCGTTGCTCTTCCCTCACTTCTTGATCCCTTGTCTATACATATAATAAAATTGGAGCATCTGTTTATAGTATTAAAAAAACAGATTACGGGAAGATGGTGTATTTGCGTTGCTGATAGCCAAAATCGCATTAAAAATTTGTTGTCTGTCTGTCCGCATTTGTTCCGCGTAATCTCCGAAACGGTCCGATTTGGACGGGATTTTCACTGGAGGGTAGCTGTCATAGACAGACATAGTATAGGATACTTTTTAATTAATTCCGCGCTGTCAAAATGGCGTAACAAGTTGTCCAAATTTGCGCTAACGAATTTTTCGGGCGACAGCTCGTGTAAAATAAAAACAAACAATATGTACTTTTAGTATGATTTGAACATGCTCTTTGCTTAGTCCGTTTGTCTATAGTCAAAGTTCTCAATGACATGATATTTTATATGTAAACATTGAGATTACTTTGGACATATTATACATGTAAGAGGTAAACAGAACAATGATATTATTGTGTTTGGTTTTATTATCAGGGAAAAACACTCTTTTATTGGTAAATGAGTAATTAAAATCTATACTAATATTATAAAGAGGAAAGATTTGTATTTTTTTATGTATTGAAATAACTCAAAAACTACTGGACAGATTAAAAAAAATTCTTACACCATTAAAAAACTACGTAACTACTGTAGTAATATAGGCTGCATTTTTACTTTGTTTTATTCCACACGGACAAAGTCGCGTGCATCCGCTAGTTTATTACATTTTCTATCAAATCCAAATAATTTTCACGATTTTTCCAAAACAAGGAAAACATTCAATTCATTTGGCAAGACAATAAAGTCGTTGACCGGCTACTCTGCCGACCTTGTTTAGTTAAAACGATTGAATCTTCCTGCTTAATACCAGGGGCACATAAAATGTGTATCGTCACAAAGGATCCATGAGTTATTTCCAGTATCACGTATACTAATATTATAAAGAGGAAAGATTTGTATTTTTATATTTTGAAATAACTCAAAAAATACACGGCCAATTTAAAAAATGCTTTCACTATTAAAAAAGTAATTTATCTATGAGTAACATAGACTGTATCTTTTATTATTTTTTAATCCCACGCGGACGGAGTCGCGGGCGAAAGCTAGTATTAAATATTTCCTTCTCCTTTGCAATAAAAGTCTTCAATATAACAAAGAAACCTATCGATTCAAAGTACCAGGCACACATAAGTTCAACGTCTGAGTATTCAGAAAACGATTAGGGGTTGACTCGTTCGTTTCAGCAAGGCCAAACACCCCCAGCCGTCTCGCCGTCGGGGTTCAATGTCCTCGTAAGTATACAGACTTTATGATTGCCTGGTACTAAACTGGGGATAAAGGAAAGTTGTCTGCGAGTTTCATGAAAATTTCAGTTGGTTTTATTATTTAATTATGTATCTATACTATTATAATAAAGCGTAAACACACACTTCTTTGTTGCCTAAGATGTCAGCAATCACAGCATGTTTTTGAATAATTCTTTCCTTAATAAAAAGCCCAACACATACGTCACGCTTTAGGCTATATATTTTTACGCCATTAATCTCAGGGGGTGAATATTTTGGATAAAATCCTAATGTGGGAAAGAGACCATAAGTTGCTGCTTGCTGCCAAATCAAGGAAGCAAGATCGTCAAGGTTTGTCAAGTCATTTTGACATTTGCTGTTGATAATTTGACATGTAAACAATAAAATTAAATTTTCACAATTTTATGCGGATGAAGTCGCTTGGGAACAGCTAGTAATGTATAAAATATCATTGTGTACATATAAAATGTATTAGTTAGTGCCATCTATTTTCAACGGCCACGGAAGATCAGCACATGTGTTGAGTGGCTCTAAATAAATAAATTTAAAATATAGAGTAAATAGTTGCGGATGAAAGGAGATTGTATGTGGCTGAGATGTGTATGTTAAGATGGATGTGGGTGACAAGAATGGATAAAGTTAAGAATGTGTTAGAGGAAGTTTGAAAGTAGCGCCAGTGGTGGAGAAATTGAGAAGCAAAAGGTTAGCGTGGTATGGACATGTTATGCGACGAAACGATGGGGACATAAACCAGAAAGTGTTAAGATTGAATGTGGATGGCTACAAAGGAAGAGGAAGACCGAAGAAAGTATGGATGGATTGTGTGAAAGAGGATATGCTTAAGAAAGGAGTGGATTCAGATATGACGGCTGATAGAGATGTATGGAAGCAGCACATACTGTGCCTCCGGACAAGTGGATGATGATAGAGTAAATACTTGTGGAATTTAATACCTAATAACCTTTAAGTTAACAACCATATAACATTGATAACTTATCTATAATTCTATTTATTTCCTTATTATAAGTAAAAAGGCCTTCGGTTTTCTTATCAAAATGCAAAACTTCTGTCACATTTTCAGTTCAGTGACATCTATTGGAAACAAACAAGAATTAAAAAAATAAAAAAGGTGTACCTATAACACTCAAAACACAAATAAAACAGTAATTTAGTTAATTCATTCTGGAGTTTACTAAAGAAATAATTCATGGGGTAAAAAACATATATAATCTATACAATATTAAAGAGGAAAGATTTGTATTTTTGTATATTCAAATGACTCCAAAAACTATTGAGCAATTTCAAAAATTATTTCAATAAATAGCTATTTACTGAGTAACATAGACTATATTTATTAACAACAAAAAAATATCTGCACAAAGTAGCGAGCAACAGCTAGTAAACAATAGATTTACTTTAATAAAACCTTAGATTCAACACAATACCTATTCATGTTTGCCCGGTACCTGTATAACAACAGACAGAAATAGGTACATCCATTTAAGACCTAGATTGGATGATTAGGTACTAAAAATAACTCCACAACAGGTCTTCGCACTACAATTTATCAATTGCAAGAAAATTGATACAAGCAATTTAGTCCGCTTGGGGTCTTTCAGGGCACTGTTAGAAAACATGTTTTTTTTATTTCATTAAAAACTCAAGTTTTAGAAATTTTAAAACAATTTCAAATATATTATATCACTAAGGAATAATGTATCTCTCTAATTGTGAAGTAGTTTTTTAGTTCGGTTCAGTAGTTTTTGAGTTTATTTGCTACAAACATAAAACAACAAGTCTCTTTATATTGATGCATAAATGATTTAAAAATGAATAAAAAAATAACATATTAATACATTATTTTTCATTGTATGTAAAATCACATCATCATATATTTTTTACTTTTTATATAAAAAATCAAAAACTGTCCAACTTTTTATGCCATGAGTGTGAGTCCTAAATTATTTAGACATAAATTCTACACTTAGGATTTTTTTTATATACATAACTAAAAAATTACCATTTCAATTTTTTTTTTAATTGGCTTCACAAAAAATCATATAAAAATAAGATTAATTTCGTATCTGTGCTAATGTGGCAGAAATTAAATACAACATTTGCCTATTTAAAAAAAAAACTTCACAGATCGATATTTTAAGTACCAGGGGAGCAGGAATAAAGAGAATGTATTACTAATACGACAGATAGAAGAGGTTTGTTTGATTTCTAGGTTTCATCACGCTAATAATAAAAAACAGGTTTTAAATGATTTCTCACATTAAATACTAGAAAACAACGTGAGTCATACAAGAACGCGTTCGAACTACATTTTCGCGACGTAATTACTTGCAAATCAAGGACATAAACAAAGACATCTGTTGTGAAAATTAACTGCGTAAATAGATTGCAATGTTGATTACGGAAACGCAGTTAGCATCCTTGATACGAAACTTGTAAATCTAGTTTCGTCATACATTTCATTGTTTATTTACGATTAAAAACTTACCGCTTAAGTCTTCGATTGTATTTAACTTGCGAGCAGCCATTTTCGCAATAGCACAGCACTTGATAATATCAGTTTTCGATTATTATTAACACTTTATAGGGTGTTTTGGAATATTATCACGAAAACAGACAAATGGAAGTCCAACAAGCGACTTCAATCAAAAGCCTTTGTTTTCTGTTTTGATTTAGAATTCGCTTTGTGACAGTGGCGCATTTCTCTTTAACCGTGTGATTGTTCTTGGCCAATAGCAAACGAGTACGCAAGCCAGTGATATCATTTGATTGGATAAGGATTTGTAAACAAAATGCAATCTATAGAGTTGCTATACACAAAAAAAATAACCACAATACTTTATCTGGTAAAGAAACTTTTTGAACTTTTAAAGTGTTTGGTAACCTGTATTTATTTTATAGAGAAAAGTTGTAACTTATAGATTTAATTACTATTTAAAGCATCACAATACTATTTTTTCCAAACAAGCAAGGGCCCGTGAATTCGACTGGAATTGCAGATACTTGTTCCACGGAGAAAAAGACCCACATAAAAAGTCTCTCCCTCTTCTTCTGCGTCTACTCCGCCGTCAAATCCTATTTACCTTCCTATCATTTCCATATAGGAAATGGGTGGAAAGAGATGGAGATTAAAATTAGGCTCCGACACGCACACTTATAAGACGAAACGCCGAATATCTTCCATTTTACGCCTGTCTTTTGCCAGGTATGACCTGGTATGATCGGAAGAGCCAGCCCAGTGTTGCGAAGAAGTTACTGTGGGCTCTACCACTGTCAACTGTTTGGAAATTTAACATTTTGTGTAAGGTTTTTCATAGTTGCAGAAAGTATAAAAGTAAGAAAGTATAAAAGGCCTTAGTCCTTAGGTAACGTCTTTTCTTGAACGTGGGTTTGATTTGTGAACGTAGTTCCTCAAGTCTCAGATTTATTTTTATATGATAATTATTGTTCAGAGGGTTTTAATTTATTTTTAAATGTATAATTCCAAAGAAAGCAAATATTATAATTTCAAAATCACACAATATTTTTATTTTTCATCTTTTCGTTAGTAAGGCAACACAATTTCTCTATTTTTTTTCAATGTCAAATTGTCAAAATTAAATCACATTGTCTATTCCTCTTGTTCTATTTTTCTTTGCAATTTTGTGATGACGTTCTTGCAGTAACCGCTCCGTAATTAATAAAATTACAATAACTCCGAGATGAATATCAATAATTTAGATGATGATATTAAAACATCATCAACTCTCGATGAAGTAAATAGTCCTAGGTAAGTGGGTTTATTTCAACTTTTCTGTATAAAGTTACTTACATATGACAGCTGATTTTAAGCGCCAAAGTCAAATGGCGCCAATTAACGTGTCAATTTTACTCTAAATCATTTTTTTACCTCCATAACGGTACAATTACTGTATTTTACAGGAAGAAGTTGCGTTTGGATAACTCTGCACGTAAGACTTGGAGCCTGATGAATATAAAAACGGATCAGGAGGTACTTAATCGTTTATTTCCCGCGAATACGACCTACGAAGTTATGTTACGTTTTTATGATTTTAACTTAATATACCAATATAATTCAACTTTGTACTATATTAAAGCAAGAATTGTAGTAAATGTAATATAATCTTGTTTATCAAGTAAAAATCAAGAAAACATCGTTTTTGAAACAGAATGTTAACGAAGTTCTAAGGGGCATGTTTTAATCAGTTTTCTATGAACTAAAACGTAATATGACTTCTAAAGTCTCATATCAGTATTGTAACGTAAAAATATCTTATAAAACACAATATAATAAAAAATACTAAAATTCTAACTACAACAATCAATGCATTACTTAAGTTAGATTTCTTAGTAACCAAAACAACTCTGAGAATGATTGGAAATTGTTTAGTTGTATCATTCCAGTTACATGTGTAAATTATTTTTGGCCCTTGACATAATCTGTGCAGAATTAAAAAAGAACTTTAAGTAGTCTATGAGTTATTCCAGATTGTTCTATATTTGTGATAAATTATAATGAGATTTGTTAAACCATTTCTATTTTATACATTCTAACAAACATCCATCCATCTAAAATTTTACATCATATAAATATTATAAAAGTGAAAGTTTAGATGGATGGATGTTTGTTAGAGTTTCTAGCCTTAACGACTGAAGGGATCTCGATGAAATTTGAATGTTTATTCGATCATTCTGCAACAGTTCAACATATCTTATTGAGATTTGTCACAGATATAAAACAAAGTGTGGAGTACAAATGGGATAAGGTTCATCCCCGAGAAATGTCTGGTTCCCGAGAGATGCGTAGCTTTTTGTTATTTATATAATTCATATGCTTTCTACTACCACACGGACGAAGTCGTGGGCAACAGATAGTTTATAATATTAGTAAGATTTTCACCTCTAGGTCTCCCCCTATGCGATGCCTATACTTCCTAAACTAGGGACTAAACCAGGGATGGCAAACCTTTGTGCATGAAAGCAATTTTAAAGAAATGTTTAATGCAGTCTTACACATTATCTGTTACGGAGGGTTGGCACAGTATGTGCTCTTCCATACATCTCTATCAGCCATATCTGAAGCCACTAATTCTTAAGCATATCCTCTTTCACACAATCCATCCATACTTTCTTCATCATACATTCTTGCAGTCTTAGATATGCTATTAATTTAAAAATGAGGGTAGTCAAAAATATATGTATGTTTTTACATTTGCAGTTTTACACCAAATATGTCAGCAAAATTTATTGACACAAATTGTTATTCCTTACTTGCATTTTCATGTTAAATGATGATTTGTCATTGAATTTTGCTGATTTTGAAAATACAATGATTACATTACTAATAATTTATCTAAATATACTTCATTCTAATATTATAAATGTGAAAGTTTAGATGGATGTTTGTTAATTTGTAGCCTAAACAGCTGAACGGATCTCGATGAAATTTGGTGTAGATGTAGAGGATAATCTGGAAGAACACAGGCTATTTGTTTTTTTTTATTCATCAACGGACATAGTCGCGGGCGAAAGCTAGTATTATAGGAAAGATTTGTATTTTTGTATGTATTGAAATAACTCACAAACTACTAGGCCGATTTTAAAAATTTCACCATTACAAAGGTAATTTATCTGTGAGTAACAAAGGCTATATTTTTTTTTATTTCACGCCGGCGAAGTCGCGAGCAACAGCTAGTTTTGTTATAAAATTATTTTTAAACCTATTGACAATTTAAATATAATTTATTGACATGTTTTGAGGAACTGTCAATAGTTAGTAAGATTTGGAAAATGTTTCAAGTGAATTATCAATTATGCCTACTCTATAGATTTTTATGAATCTCGTTAGTTTTTATGGATGTTTGTATGTCCATACAATAAAAATAAAAATAGTTTATTAATTTCCCCTCGTGCAGGGGACTGGTGTCCAAACTAGGGTGGTCCCTGTGTAATGGATCACCAGGCCCCGCCCCAAAGACCAATGTGAATCTTACAAACTTAAAAACAAACAGATATTTATTACTTAGTTAAAATAAAGAAGAAATTAGAGCTATGTATGTTAGGTGTTTGTGTGTAATGTGTAGTGTTTAGTGGAAAAGAGTTTTTTTTTATTAAGATTATCTATCCTAGCAAGAGAGAAAAGTTTTGTATTTTTGTATTTATTATTATTTATAATGATAATAATTATTATTGTATTTATTAATTCGAAACTACTGGGCAGTCACCAAAATTTCTTTCATCAATAAAACACTTATTCCAGTTGACAGCCCCTATATTGTTAACACAACTAATGTTAGGAGTCTGGAGGTACATCGGTAGAGGTAGACAGAAAGAGTATTGTGTGAAAGGTGATAGGAAGTGACTGAGATGATGGATGATAGAGTTATTTAACGACCCGGTGCGCCCTACGAGAGTAGGGTAAGATGGGGGAGATGCTGATTGTTAACACAACCAGTCACATATTTGTCATAGATATACAAAAATCTAGAAAAATGCTGCTTAGTATTCTTTTAATTCTACACTAAGTTGTGAGCACAGCTACTTATGTGAAGACACCTAAAGTTTTTATTATATTTATATATAACGAGCTGTTGCCCGCGACTTCGTCCGCGTGGTATTAGAAAACATACGAGCTATATAAATAACAAAAAGCTACGTATCCCGGGAACTGGACATTTCTCGGGGATGAACCTCATCCCATGTGTACTCCACACTTTGTTTTATATCTGTGACAAATTTCAATAAGATATGTTGAACCGTTGCGGAATGATCGAGTAAACATTAAAAAATTAAATTAATGAATCCCACGGGAACCGTAACTATTCCCGGGATAAAAAGTAGCCTATGTGTTCTTCCAGACTATGCTCTAAACCTGTGCCAAATTACATGGAGATCCGTTCAGCCGTTTGGGCTACAAACGCTAACAAACATCCATCCATCCATCTAAACTTTCGCATTTATAATATTAGTAAGATATTTATAATTTCTCATATCTTTATTTTCTTATTTTTATATGTAACATATTTCACATGATATTTTATTAAAAAAAAAACCATTATAAACCATATTATATAAAAAAATAGAAGTCCACCGGTTGCGGAATCCAATGACTCAAGCAACCAGTGGTCAGGGCTGCAAAGACAGGAACCTCCTCACTATTCGTGCGGTTTCTAAAATAACCGCCTTCTGTCTAGCGAGAGCTTCTTGAGGTGTTGGTCGAAGCTCTTCGCTATCAGCCCGTGTACCGAAACGACTATCGGAATAATGGTAGTCGATTTCATACGCCACATGGCGGTAATCTCGTAAGCCAAATCCAAATATTTTAATAGTTTTTCATTTTCGGCTTTCACGAGATTCTCGTCATGTGGGATAGTGACATCATATTTATAATATTAGTAAGATATTTATGATATTAGTAAGATATTTATAATATTAGTAAGATATTTTCTATTAAAAAGTTTATTTGTTTATTTCCAGGTGCTACAAGAGATGGGAGTAAGTTTGTTAGAACAGGATGAGGCGGAGAACACATGTGAAATCACACATGTGACTGTAAGTATTCTTTCTACTAGCCTTAGCCTACGACTCTGTCTGAGTGGAGTTAATAAAAAAACTGAGTAGCCTATGTGTTCTTCCAGATATCTTCTACATCTATGCCAAATTTCATTGGAATCCGTTCAGCAGTTTAGGCTACAAACACACATTCTTACTGATAAATAAATGCGAAATTGTTACTAGTATTTTAACTTTTATTTGGTGAATTTTTATTTAAATTTGTTATTTTCAGTGTTTTTCTAGTATTTGTAAGTGTTGTAATATTCTAAATAGGTTAAATAATAATTATTATTATTACTTTACTAACTTTCGCCCGCGACTCCGTCCGCGTGGAATTAAATAAAAACAAAAGTGAGTAGCCTACGTGTTCTTCCAGACTATGCTCTAAACCTGTGCCAAATTTCATCGAGATTCGTTCAGCCGTTTAAATTACAAACGCTAACAAACATCCATCCATCTAAACTTTTGCATTTATAATATTAGTAAGATTATTACCATACTTCAAACTAATATTATAAACGCAAGAGTTTAGATGGATGGATGTTTGTTAGCGTCTGTAGTTTAAACGGCTGAACGGATCTCTATGAAATTTGGCACAGGTTTAGAGCAGTCTGGAAGAACACATAGGCTACTTTTTATCCCTAGAATAGTTACGGTTCCCGAGGTATTGATTAATTTAATTTTTTAATTACTCTATCATTCTGCAACGGATCAACATATCTTATTGAAATTTAGCACAGATATAAAACAAAGTGTGGAGTACACATGGGATAAGCTTCATCCGCGAGAAATGTCCGGTTCCCGGGATACGTAGCTTTTTGTTATTTATATAGTTCGTATGTTTTCTAATACCACGCGGATGAAGTCGTGGAAAACAGCTAGTTTATAATATAAGTAAGATTTTCACCTCTAGGTCTCCCCCTCTTGGCGACGCCCATACCAATTAAACTAGGGACTAAACCAGGGATACCTGGCCGACGATGTCGCGGGCAACAGCTAGTTACTCTATATTACTTTGATTACAGCACAAGCCTAATTTAAAACGGAAACATGATATAGAAAATGTCAACCCAAATATCAATAGTATCTCTCCGAGGAGATTTAGTCCTAAGAGCCCTAAGGTTAAGAAGCCCTGCGCAAGTCCTGGACCTTCTAAAGCCAAAAGTCCCTGGAGTCCGGATAAGAGTGAGTCAATATTTTTTCTATACTATAAATTATATCTCAACTGCCCCCTGTATTATAAACTGAACCATGTTATAGTAGTTTAGGGCAGGCTGAAAACCAGCGCGGCCTTCAGTGACAAGCTGGAGGCCGCATCAGCTGAGCCTTTTCCTTTTGACCAAGAGTTTGTATTTTTATTTTTATTTCATTAATAATTGTAAGTTATGTTCCTTTAATTTTCTTTTTGGTCAATAAATAGTGTTTTTATTATTTTTTTTATTTTATTTATTAAAGAGGGAAGATATGTATTTTTGTATGTATTGGGACTCAAAAACTACTTGGGACAATTTCAAAAATTCTTTTACCAATTAAAAGCTATGTTTAATGAGTGACATAGGCTTTGTTTCAAATTTTTATATTTAACGCGGGCGATGTTGCGAGCAACAGCTAGTAAACGTTTTGTACAATGGATTCATGTTGTACAATGGATTCGTTTTTATAATGAATTCGTTTTTCCAATAGATTCGTTTTTTTATTGGATTCGTTTTTACTATGAATTCATTTTTACAATGGATTCCTTTTTGCAATGGGTTCTTATTCAATGGATTCGTTTTTACAATGAATTCGTTTTTCCAATAGATTCGTTTTATAATGGATTCGTTTTTACTATGAATTCATTTTTACAATGGATTCCTTTTTGCAATGGGTTCTTATTCAATGGATTCATTTTGTACAGTGGATTCTTTTTTACAATGGATTCGTTTTACAATGGGTTCTTATTCAATGGATTCGTTTTGTACCAGTAACTAGCAAGTTCATATTTATGTCATTTTAATTCCAATTTCAGCTAAACAAGATTTAGAAACCACGTTAATATCAAACTATTTAATAGAAGAAGAAACCCCGTTAGCTCAAATAACTCAATACCAACCACAAGATTCGGAGTTTGTTGCAAATACGTCTACAGGAAAGAAGAGTTTTACATGTAAGTTTTTTTTATATGCAGAAGAACATCATCATCATCACCAGCTCACTATACGTCCCCACCGAGGGGCTCGGAGCCTACCCTAAATTAGGGTGACTAGGACATAGTCAAACACGCTGCACTGCGGGTTGACTTCACACATATCTTTGAATTTCTTCTCCGATATGTGCAGGTTGCACGATGTTTTCCTTCACCGTAAGAACGTCGGGTAAATTATGTACATATGAAAATTCGAAAAATCGAAAATCACAGGTACAGGATTTGAACCCAAGACCTGTAGATTACAAGTCAAGTGCTAACACTGAGCCACCGACGCTCATGTAGAACATCAATGACATAAAAACCTCTATAACTACAAAAAATATGTTCCCTTCCCATCAGAGCCCAAAACCTCTACAAAGACCCTTGATAACTTAAAACCTCTATAACTTATATTTTGTGTTTCCCTTGGACTTTAACTTATCGAGGTTTTACTGTATTGGAAAGAGGAAAACTTTGTAATGAATAGACTCAAAAACTACTGGGGCGATTTTAAAAATTCTTTCACCGTTAGAAAGGTAATTTATCTGTTAGTAACATAGGCTATATTATTAATGTTTTTTTTTTATCTAGTATCTAATAAGCTTAAAAACTATTGAACTGATTTTAATAATTCTTTCACTATTAGAAATGTTATTACTGAATGACAGGATTTTTTTATTACTTTTTTAATTCTATGTTGAAGAATGTTACATTTTAAACTAAAACCTAAATTTTGGTCGCTTTACATCATTTTTCCTATTAAGGGAAATTGAATTTAAAATATAGAAAGGGGAAAATATCCTCTTTATGTATATATCAGTTAATTGCAGCTTTTGTGTGGGTAGTGGTTTCGCCATTTTAGCGAAGATGGTTTTTATATAAAAAAACTATAACCGAATGTTTAATTTTGGTCACTTTACTCCTTTTAAGGGAAAGTGAATTTAAAATATGGGAAGAGGAAATATCCTCTTAATGTATGTCAGTTTGCAGCATTTGTGTGGGTAGTGGTTTCGCCATTTTAACGAATTCTTATATAAAACTCCTTTCAGCTCTAGGTATGGAAGAAGTAATTAATAGAAGAACGAAATCAGAACCAACAGGAATCGACACTTTCTCTATATTATCCGATGAGATGATTCTGAGTGTATTTAAGTGGTTGCCAAAAAGAACTTTAGCTCATTGTATGTTGGTTTGTAAAAGGTAAGTTCTTATTTCTTACTAATATTATAAACTAGCTGTTCCCGTGCGGGTTTATCCGTTTGAAATTATGAAAATTATATTTTATTGTTGACATTTGTCAAATTATCAATTTCAAATATCAAAATAACATGACAAACTTTGGCAATCTTATTTGTAACAACATATGGTCTCTTTTCACATTAGGGTTTATATCCAAAATATTTACCCTCTAAGTTTAATAGCGTGAAAATATATAGCATAAAGCGTGACGTAAGTGTAGGGCTTTTTTTTAAAAAAAAGAATTATTCGAAAATATGGTGTAATGGCTGACATCTTAGGCAACAAAGAAGTGTGTTTACGCTTTATTATAATAGTATAGATAAAATTGGAGTGTCTGTAATATCAAAAGAAATATTTCAAATTTCGGGATGATTTATTTGCGTTGCTGACAACGAAAATCGCATTAAAAAATTTTGTCTGTCTGTCTGTCCGCAAGCCGCGTTAGTTCCGATTAATCTCCGAAACCTCTGGGCAGATTTTGACCGGACTTTCACTGAAGGGTAGCTGACATAGACCCGCATATTATAGGCTACTTTTTTTTTAATTCTGCGCTGTCAAAATGGCGTAACGGGTGGTCCAAAGCGCTATCAAAGTTTGTGTACGATAGTTCGTCTATACTATTATAAAGACGAAATATTTGTATTTTTGTACGTATTGAAATAACTCAAAAACTACTGGGGCAATTTCAAATCTTTCAAAAAATCTATTGCTGTGTAACATAGTGGACGAAGTCGCGAGCAGTACTAATAGTACTAGTACTAATAAAACGTACAAGTAAACGTAACAAGTACTAATAAAACGTAAACACACTTTGTTACGGAAGTTTGCGACAATTACTGTATATTTATGAATAATTCTGCACTTAATATGGTTTTTGCTAGCGACTTCGTCGATGTGAATCTAAAAATACTGCCTATTTAGCAATAACGAAGCTTTAAATGCTGAAAGAATTTTTAATATTGTCCCAGTAGTTTTTGAGTTGTTTCAAATCACAAAAATACAATCCTTCTTTATAATAGCATAAAAATAACTCTTTTTGTATTTCCAGATGGTATAGATTAGCCTGTGACGAAAGTTTATGGCAACGTCTAGATCTAGGCAATAAAGTGCTCTCTAAAGACGCCCTAGGGAGAGTCCTAGCTAGGAAACCTATTATAATAAGACTGGCTAGTACTGAGGTAAGTAAAATATCAATAACATTTCTTTAAAAACTAGCTTTTGCCTGCGACTCCACATGGAATTAAAACTCAAAAGTTTCCTATGTGTTCTAGATTTTCTTCTAAATGTATGACAATCGAGATCCGTTCAGTTTAAGAAACAAACATCCATCCATCCATAGATTCATCCAACTTTCGCTTTTGTAATATTAGTATTATATACTAGTCAATGGCCGAATTTTCGGATTCCATTTTGGCCTTAGTTTTGGCTAAAAACCTTGTATCGACCTTTATTTCGATTTCTCACAAAATTTAACCGTAATTTTCTTCTGTGCATAAACTAAATTGTTAGTGAATTTTCATTGTAACTATACAATTTGTATCGATAAAACTCAGTTTAAAAATTCTTATAAGAAATAAAAAATAACTTTAAAACACACTTACTCTAAAATTGAACACTCGTTAACCAAAATATTACTAATATTATAGCGAATGTTTAGATGGATGTTTGTTAGTTTGTAGCCTAAACTGCTGCACGGATTTCGACGAAATTTGATATAGACATAGAGGATAGTCTGAAAGAACACATGGGTTACTTATTTTTGTTTTTTTAATTCCACGTAGAGTCGCGGGCGAAAGCTAGTTTAACATAAATTATAACATCCTTGAAATACTACCAAAAAAATACTCGATTTCAATAAATAATCGTGAATTTAAGTGTATTATTGGTTTATATTTGGTTTTCTGCCGAAACAATGTTTTCAATTCACTATTATTATTTTTTTTATAACATAAGGTGGCAAACGAGCAAGCGGCCACCTGAATCCGACAATATGGCGAAGTGACCGCTGCCCATAGACATCCGCAATCGCAGATGCGTTGCCTACCTTTATCCGACGGAGGAGGAGACGCACATAAAGAGGACATTGCTCCTTCCTTTGCATCTCCTCCACCGTTAAATCCACTTCCCCTTCCCATCCTCTCCTTATAAGAAAAGAGTGGTAAAGAGAAAGGGACTTAAATTAGGCCTCCGGCACCACACTCATCAGACTGTACACGGAATGGCTTCCACTTCACGCCTGTCTTCTGTGTGGTCGTGGTATTACTGGGGGCGTGCCCTGCAGTGCTAAGATGTTAAAGCGGGCACTACCACTGTTAAACTATTAACTAGATTTAAGACTAAAATTGATATTTTTAAATAAATCTTAGTATTAGACCTTTATTTAAAGTCTATTCTATCACCAGATAGGTGAATGGCATCCCACAACTGCGGTCACACAATCTAGAATACAATATCTAGACCTAAGCATGTGTTCAGTAGACCAAAAGACCTTGGACAGTCTACTGGAAAGATGTACTTCTCTGAGGAAACTCAGCTTGGAGAGTGTTCAAATAAACGACAGTACATGTACTATTATTGGTGAGTTATCCAATATTTATACTAGAATAAGACCAGTAGACCAAAAGACCGGTCTACTAAAAATACATAATGTATGTTTCATACATATAATTAATTAAAAAACTATAAGACAATCGATGTTAAAGTATTTAATGAGGTAACATTTCAGTAGACCGAAAGACCGGTCTACTAATGATAATAATAAAATGTATATTTTATATGGAAAATAAACAAAAAAACTATGAGATAGTCGAGTTAAAATACTTATTATTTACTAAGATATTTTAGTAGACCAAAGGACCGGTATACTGAAGTTAAAAAAATGAAAAAAGATGAATTTCATTATTTAAAAAAAAAGTGTCCAACTAAAATTAAGTGTTTTGTGATCTTATCACTTGAGTAGACCAAAAGGTTTATTCTAAAAAAATTAAACACAAAAAAGACAAATAAAAAAACCAACCGCATCATAAATAAAATACTTTATTATTTAGTTATTAACTAGCTTTCGCCCGCGACTCCGTCCGCGTGTATTAAAAAAAAAACAAAACCGAGTGTCTATGTGTTCTTCCTAACTATCCTCTATATCCATACCAAATTTTATCGAAATCCATTCAACCGTTTAGGCTACAAACTCTAACAAACATCCATCCATCCATCTAAACTTTCGCATTTATAATAGTATGATAAAAAAAGTTTTCTCAGTAATGTAGAAGACCAAAAGACCGGTCTACTAAAACCAACTTTGTTATATTTTGTGAATATCTATCATTAGAAATAGGTATATAAGGTAAATAATATATAACATGATTCTTTTTCCCTTTAAAATTGTAAAGGAAATTGCCCTTTTAGTTGGGCAAAAAAAACCTGCATTTGAATTATTTTTATAGGTAAATGTAAGAATTTAGAAACATTAAATCTGACAATGGCCAAAGGTATTACAGCTGAAGGATTGGAAGAAATATTAAAAGGTTGTGTTAGGTAAGTTTGTGTCTTATATACTTGTTGTTGCTACTGACTTCATCCGCGTTAAATATAAAATCAAAAAATAAAATAACTCAAAAACTACTGGGTTAAAAAAAATAATTTCACTATTAAAAAGCTATTGTCAGTGAAATAGAAAATAATAATATAGCCTATGTTACTCAGTGATAATGTAGCTTTTTAATTGTGAAAGATTTTTTCAAATCGTCCCAGTAGTTTTTGAGTTATTTCAATACATGAAAAAACATAATAATACGAATATTTCCTCTTATTTTACTAGTTGTTGCTCGCGAGTTCGTTTGCGTCGATTTAAAAATAATATAGCCTATGCGAGTAACATAGGCTATATTATTGATTTCACTCAATCATTTTTGAATTTAGCCCAGTAGTTTTTGAGTTATTTCAATACATACAAATATTTCCTCTCTATTCTATCAGTATAGATTTATTTTATATTTCCAGTCTGCTGTCACTGAACATATCTTGGTGTAATTTGAACCAGGAGGCATTGCAAGTACTGGTCACCTGTCTACCCCAGAAACTGCAGAGGTTGAACGTTGGCGGGGCGAGGATAATGACTAACGATAGTAAGTGGAATTCAATGTTCAGAAAATACTGAATCGTAGTAAAACTGTTCAGTAAATGCTGTAACTATAATTGTGTTTAGAAGAAGCAATATTATTAACGCAAAAAATAACTGTTTAGTAATAGGGAATATGTATTTTTTTTTCTTTTTTAAAACGATTCTACTTGTTATAAAATAACCACAAAAAATTGACGCGAAAAAATTCAACCATTGAGCTAAAAATAATAAAATAAAATTACGACCATTTTCGAGCGACTAAAACGCGATCGGAGTTGTCATGAGACAATTGACGTCAAATGTCTATTCCATTCATAACATACGCTCAGATGTCACTTCGACGTAAAACACAACAAAGTTTCTCAAGGTCAAAAAGTCAAATATCGATTAATTTTTATTATTCCTGGTACAAATAAGTGGTAATTAATAATTCTATACATTATTTTTTTACAGTAAAATACTTCAAGATTGTATTTCTATATAAAGTAACGTAAATGAACTGTGTATTGTCAACACAGCGACGCCATATTAGATAAGCCACTTGCTTCGAGCAATAGTGTGCGTTTTAGAACTTAGCAATGAATTTGAAAAAAGACACTTTTTAATGATTAAATTTTGCCACTAAATCACATTATATTCAGAAAAATCTTTGCAGGACTGTTTTTTGGGTACAATTTGGCGTCATATGCATATTGCCTATTACTGAACAGTTTTACTACTGTTTAAGACGACTCCGTCCGCGTGGATTAAAAAAACCCAAGTAGCCTATATGTTCTTCCAGACTATACATCTATACCAAATTTCATCGAAATCCGTTCAGCAGTTTAGGCTGCAAACTAACAAACATACATCTAAACTTTCGCATTTATATTAGTATGATTGAATAAAAGGCCAAACATAGATAACTACCTTTTTTTCTTTAAATTCAACTGGTATATATTTATTTTCAGTGGTCCAACAATTAGTAGAAAGATGTCCTAGATTACTAGAATTAGATCTGTCAGATTGTTCAGTGTTGTCAGCGATTGCTGTCAAGTCAGTGCTGAATTTGTCTTGTTTGGAACATGTCGCGCTCAGCAGATGCTATTTGTTGCCTCCGCATGTGCTCACGTAAGTATCATTGATATATGACACATTTGACATTTATGACACCTTTATGACACTGCTGACACTTTTATGACACCTTACGTTTGCCCCTTTTTTAAACTCTCAGTGATCTACGTAATAACAGAAATCAGATGCAAGTTTCCAATTTCCTCAGTCCGGTAGTTAGTGCACTGGTTTTTAAATGGTTCCTAAACAATAGTAGTAATAAAATAAATTACCTTTCTAATGATGAAAGAATTTTTGAAATCAGCCCAGTAGTTTTTGAGTTATTTCAACACAACAAAATATAAATCTTTCCTCTTTATAAAATTACTGCAAATAGTAAAGTACTGTAAATAGACAAGTTGTTCTTCGCGAATTCCTACGCGTAAAAAAAATATGAAAATTGTCCCAGTAGTTTTTACGTGAATCAAATGCATACAAAAATCCAAAACTCAAATCTTTTCTGTCTTATATTAGTACTAGCTTCCGCTCGCGACTCCGTCTTCGTATGATTTTAAAAAAAGCGAGTAGCCTATATGTTTTTTTAGACAACGCTACATCTATGCTAATTTCATCGAAATACTTTCAGCAGTTTAGGCTACAAACTTACAAGCGTCCATCCATCTAAAGTTTCGCATTTATCATACTAATATTATAAATGTGAAAGTTTAGATGGATGTTTGTTAGTTTGTAGCCTAAACTGCTGAACGGATTTCGATGAAATTTGGTATAGATGTAGAGGATAGTCTGGAACACATAGGCTATCAATTTTCTTTAATTCTAGCTAAAAGTTAGTATTAGTAAAGAGTAAGATAGATTATGTATTTACAGAAAATTAGGTAGTATGTCGTCATTACAATATCTAGAAGTATGGGGGATGTTACAAGCGGGGTCGTTAACAGCTCTACGCGCTGCTCTACCCGGGATGCAAATAAACCAGTTTATGTTCAGGTAAGTTAGATTGTAAACTGACAGATTATCCATTTAAATATATACCCTATGTTACTCACTGATAACGTAGCTGTTTAATAGTGAAAGAATTTTTAAAATCGTCCCAGTAGTTTTTGAGTTTATTAGTAATATACAATTTTCTTCGTTATATTTAATAGTAAGTAAGCTATGTTCTCTTTCAGACTATCCTCTACATCTATGACAAATTCCATCGAAATCCGTTCAGCAGTTTAGGCTACAAACTAACAAACATCCATCTAAACTTTCACATTTATAATATAAGTGAAATTATAAAAAAAAAACTTAAAAACTACTGGTCCGATTTCATAAATTATTTCACCAAAAAGCTACGTTATTAATGAGTAACATAGGCTATATTTTTTTTCTAATTTCACGCGGACGAATTCAGTAACAATAGCTAGTTTAATATAACACTTGCTGTTGCTCGCTACCTCGTCTACGTGAAATTTAAAAATATATCCTATGTTCTCTAATAACGTAGCTTTTTAATAGTTAAAGAATGTTTAAAATTGTCCCAGTAGTTTTTGAGTTATTTCAATATATACAAAAATGCAAATCCTTATTCAATTACATTAAAATTTCATTTGTCAGATTTTACGAGAAATCAAGCTATGTTTGAGATTTATTTTGAATAAGCCCATAAAATGAAAAATGCAATTTATTACTATTTTTCTTAGGAAGTGTTTCAATAAAAAATTATTCCACAGCGCGATAGCTCGCCCTACAGTTGGAGCTAGACGGACTTCTATTTGGGGATTACGTACAAGAGACTGATTTATTTAAAATCGCAGCCTTTTTTCTCCATGTAAAAACATGTTTCATATAAAAAATTAGTTATATATGTCGTGTGAAATCAAAAAATATAGCCAATGTTTGATAACTTAGCTTTTTAATGATGAAGCAATTTTTGAAATCGGCAAAGTAGTTTTTGAGTTATTCTAATTCATACAAATCTTTCCTCTTTATAATAGTATAGAATAATATAATCTAATTTTTAATCGATTTCAGGAAGATTCTCAATACGATTGGTCTTTTAAGTCTATATATCGATTACTCTGTCGTACCACTTTTCCTAAATTAAAAACTATTAAGTAGTTTTTGAGTTTTTTGTAAAAACCATTTAGTTTTTTGAGAATGATAATTTTTGTCGCTAATCAGACATAGGTATTTAAACTAAATATACGTTTAAGTTATCTAAGCATTCTATTATAGCATAAATACTGGAAATCGTATTTTAATAATTTAACCAATCATTATTTTGTTGATTTGTAAAAAATAAATCGACCCTATCTTTATTAATGTTGATTTTTCACACTATTTCGATCTATCATTAAGGTGAAAAAAATGATTATCAACCTAAAAAAATCCTATTAAAACAAAAAAATAAACTAAAAAGAGCTCGACTGATTTTTTCATTTAATTTCTCTTTCATAAAAATCTTTTATTTTCATATTAATATTAAATACTTGAGTATTGTAAAATAAGAAAATATAGAAATGTAAAAAAAGGCTGCGCACAACTAAAGTGTAAAAAATTGTATTTATTTTTGTCTTAAACTAAGTAAACAATAGATATTTTGATGTTTGGAAAATAATTGTTTATAAGAAATCAAATATAAAAAGTAAAAGAAAAATAATGTGTATTTTTTTACCTTTATTTTGTGCTTATACCCAAAACTCCATCCAAATTAAAAAAAAAAAAAAAAACAAAAATACATAAATTTAAGTGTTCCAGACTATCCTCTACATATATGAAAATCATTGAGATCCATTCAGTATAGGATACAAACATAATCTAAACTTTCCCATTTATTGTCCCAGTAGTTTTTGAGTCTGACACTACAAAAATTATATACAACTAAAAAAAAATACAAATTAGTTACAATTATTTATTATGTCTTAAAAACTTAATTCCAATTTTGATATTCTCTTTAGTACTAAATATTTTAAATAATCATTTGAAAGTTCTTTTAGCTTTCTGTTCTGCGGCATCACTCGCTTGTACAAATGTCCTTTTTAGTTTGTTCTGTCTACTCTCTTTGTATTTCTTTGACACCTTTTCAGCTAATTTTGCTACCCTCTTCATTGTTAAAGGTGGGTATCTAAAATAAAACAAATTATAAAAATATCTAGTAATAAATATATCCTTTTAGTAATAATGTAGTTTTTTAATGGTGAAAGAATTTTAAAAATTGGTTTATTAGTTTTTGAGTTATACGAAATACATTTTTTTTATAACATAAGGTGGCACACAGTCAAGCGGCCACCTGAATCCGCCAAAATGTCGAAGCGACCGCTGACCCTTTCTATGCATCTCCTCTACTTCCCCTTCCCATCCTCTCCGTATAAGAAAAGGGTGGTGAAGAGACAGGGACTTAAATTAGGCCTCTGTCACCACACTCGTCAGACGAAACATGGAATTGCTTCCATTTCATGCCTGTCTTCTGTGTGGTCGTGGTATTACACCGGGCGTACCCTGCAGTGCTAAGATGTTAAAGCGGGCACTACCACTGTTTTTCCTCAAAATTGTTACTTTTGGAGTCTCCGCGCAGAATTAATAAAAGCTAAAGTAGAGGCTTGTGTTCTAGAATGTTCTAGATCTGTTACAAACCGTAAGATCTGTTAAGCTGTTCTGGATATCCTTAGTCAGAAACAAAGATCAATCTAAAAAGATTGGTGACAGAAGTTTAGAAACTACGAAAACACCGTATAAGTACAAAATTACGTATATGACATACTGCAATGTATCGTTTTTCTATTTGAATTACGTAAAGTTTATAAATAAATAGATTTCGCCAGCGACTCTATTTGCCTGAAATAAAAAAGGAGCCTAAAGCCTATATGTCCGACCAGACTATCCTCTACGTCTATGCCTTTCTTATAAATCTTCCGTCTACGTCTTGTAAATTCCATAAAAATTGTCCTATTTATAACATTAGTAAGATAAAATTAAATCTAATGCTTACCTGCATCCTAAAAACTCTATATTAGTAAATAATTGGGCCAAAGTAATAAGTTCAGCTTCGTCGAAACTATCCTTGTGTTCTAACATGAAACTTTTACGTACTTCCCATTGTTCGTCTGATTCATGTTCGGTGCGTAACGAGTCAATATCTATTAAAGGCTTCATTTTATTACGCAAAGTATTCCAAAATTAATTAAGAATTAAATTATGAGTTTCAAAAGGTTGCGTTGTTATTTTTTTGACTTGTTGATATTTGTGACGGTGACAGCTGCGAGTTTTCTTGTGTTGCCATATCAATTATTTTTCTTTAAACATTTTAATTAAAACAAAATTGCAACAGTTGCTCTTTACTGATATTTGTTACGCTATTTCACAATGTATTAACAAAGCAAAAAAAATTTTAGTATGATTATTAAATCATCCAAACAATAAGCTACAATATAAAAATCGATAAACTTGTCTTATCTCCCGATGTAAACGACCTTATGACATTAGAGGGCAAAGGTCATTGACTTTGTGTCTAGATTTTATGTTACCATAATCCCTGAAAAACTTACTACTTAATACTAAGAAAGTTTGAAAATCAAAAGTAAATCTAGGAAAACCACAAATTAAACTAGTAAGATTTTCTAAACCATTTAGTAGCTTTGTTACTTTGTTAATGAAAAGATTTATTTCGTGACGTTCGACAAAAAAGCGAAAAGTAAATCAATAAAAATTTAGTTCAAACTACCAATTTGCGAATAAAGTAAGTAACTGGCAATAATTTGCGAAAGAACTATAACACTACAATTTAAAAAACGCCGCTCACTCCAATATGAAACAATAGTTTCCTTAACATCATATATTTTTGTTAACTTATACGTAACTTTTCCAGCTTATTGTCAAACCAAGTATATGTCGAGAATTTCAAATTATTTTTATATAAACTTTTAGAGGGTAGTTTTTATATAATAAGTGTTTTTAGCTTGTGTTAGTTAAAAGTTTACCTACATGATACAAAAAATATGATTACTGGTAAGAAAACTTATATAAAAATTTTCTTTGTTTCGCAAACTTTGTCTTACTTGTAACTTATTGTCCACAGATACTAGTTTAATAAACAGTGAAAAGTGATATTAACATAAGTAGTGTTACTGATATTTAAAATGTTAAAAAACTAATAAAAAATGGCGTTTTCTTTACGTAAAATGCTAACAAACATTAGTTACTTCAAAAAAATTGAAAACGAAAGTGTAAACACAGAAAAACAAAACACCTACGATGAAATGGACCTTAACGATTACCAGACCACGGAACCTGATTCAACAATCCGTCAATGCTCTAGTCTGAATATTCCTGATTCCGTAAAAATATTCAACGCTAAAAAAACCTCACTATCAGACACAGATCTTACCCTAAATGTTAATAATCCTATCAGGCACAAACACAAAAGATGTAAAAAATTAAAACTAGACATCAATAAAGCAAGTCAATCGTTAAGTGAAAAATTAAACCAAGAAGAAAGCTGCGATTCGAACGTTGAAAACACACCTAAACATATCCTCCTTGAGTGTGCTACATCCGAATTCACTAATAAACTAAAAGGTTTCGATTTTAACAAGGAATTTGATATTTACGATGGCACATCTGACGACCAATGGTCAAATCCTTTCGAAGAAGAGAATATCGATATTGAATCATTCTCCGATCATTCAGACAGTGATATATCTATCGGTAATCAAAAGAAATCCATCAAAATGTGTCGTAAAGTACAATCGATGGAGAGCGGATCATCCAGCGATGAGATCCAACATCCACCGACCTCTCCTGAGTCATTTGGTGATATCGAAACAGATAAAAATGAAATAGAAAGAATAAAACTGCTATACAATTATCAAAATAAACTAGAAAAGGTTGAAAATCTATTAAAAGACATGCTAAATGAATTCCAATTTCATATACAGGTTTCTAAAATCTTTAATCGAACTTTACCTGACACTGATCCTGGTAACCCCGAGATAAGAAAACCCAGTCCGACTGACTCGTGGAGTGTTATTATGGAAGAAGACGGCAACACTAAAGTATCAGTAAAAAAACAATTAGAATCAATCAAATATTCAATAGAACAATTCATAAACATATATCTAAAAGATTACGAGAAAGATACGAGAATTAAAAAATGTAGAAAATATACACCACGTAATAAGGGTAAACAGAGATGTGTTAATAAGAAAAAGATGAAATATTACGATTTCCCCGATTTAAGAGAAGCTATGATTAATTTATTCTCGCCGGAGTTAAATGAAACAAATTCAAGTGATTCCGATGACTCTCTATCTTCTAAATGTAGCTGTTCCTGTCACGAAACATCTTCGCACACAGATTCAGGTTTAATTAGTAAAAATAATGATAGATCAAACCAATCAATTACATCGTCTCTCGGTAACTTCAGTTTAGAGACATCTACTTTAACGACATACTCAGAGTCATTAGATCAAATAATAAGTTACAATAGCTTCGAAGATAGTGTATACAATACATTTATACAAAAAACAGCAGTCGAACGCATCACATTCTACATCCAAGTACATAATATACAATTAAAATGTGATCTTAACGATGATAATGAAACGAAAACATTAATTTTTTTTTGTCAATCTTGCAAATCAACTGAATATAATGAAAATGATTTATTAAAACATATATTGGGTCAAAATCATTGTGAAAAAATACACTTTCAGTATAAAACTGCTTATATTAAAAAATGCATGGCCGAAGGTAAGGAAATACAACCGAGTACAGTTTTAAACCCAATGAAAATGTATCGAGATGATAATAAAATTGTATGCTTCGGGAATGCTGTCTACGCTTGCTCTTTATGTTTTGAAAATGATATTATTGGTGAATCTGTGTTAATGACACATTGTGCGGAGAAATATCACATTGAAAAACGAGAGAAACTCAATGAGATTATAGATTAAACGCATGCATGCATGCACATGCTAATGCATATCAAAAAATACTAAAAAAGGTTTATTTTGCATACATTTTTTTCAAACTATAAGATTTTTTGACAATTTTTTTAAAGCTTTACACTATTTTTTACTATTTTTAATATCTTATCTGTCTATATTTCTTTCTACTAATATATATTTTTTTATATAACAGTAATGAAAGATTTTTTTTTTTCATAGAAAAAAAGACATTTTAATGCAATGTAAACTGTGATTTTAATGTTTAGATTTTAGGATAGTGGGATTCAAAATTCACCAATTTTTTATCCGTAATTGCATGCTAGATTTATTAGGAAAAAACGCTCCACAAAAAAAGAGGGTTTTTTATTTTTTTGTTAATAATTTTAACCATTTCTTTTTCAAGACTTTAAAATATTATTATTAATAGCATAGATAACATATTAACACAAAAAATAACTGTATTTTTAACTTTTGTACCTTTGACCCTAAAATCTTTCTTTAAAATCTTGCCTTTTGTAATTAAATTAACACTTTTTTTTAACGAATAATTCTAAATAAACAGTAAAAAAATACTACGAGCCGGTTCTCAAAGTATTTTAGCATGATTTTGGTAGGCTTATTAGAAAAAAATGCTGTTATTTTTTATTTTATGTCATTTTTTGTGTTCTAAAAAATGACCAAATACAATATTGTGATTATATTTTGTAAACTATTAGGTGCTATTTTTTCTTTATTACCAAAATATTGCCTGTAAATCTTGTATATCTTGTAATTGTGATAAAATTAGTTTTTTTTAAACTTTTCTGTTAAACAACCAAAAATATCATTTTATTTTGGACTGTTAAAAGATCTCAAACAGAAAAAAATAGATACAAATATACATTTTGCAATTTTTTTTATAATTAAAAATTAACACTTATTTTTAAATATGGCGCTATTGTGATTTTTTAATATAGCGATATTTTACTATGTTTTTTTGTATATCTGATTTTAAAAAATCTCTGCTTAAATCATTGTTATGTATTTTTTAAAAATCAAGCTTTCAGGGTTGCCCCATTACTCGTATAATTTAAAAAAAATATAAAAAGTGTAGCGACCTGTCCCACCAAATTTTAAATTATGTGAAAAGAATTGAACGTGTGAAATATATGATGGAAATATCGGATTTTGTCCCGTTGTATAAGTGACGTCATGTTTAAGCTATCTGAGCCTCTATCAGCCAGTTGTGGGATAGGCTCTTAAAGTCGTATTAGACAGGGTGTTTGTATATTCCAAACTTTACATAGCTTAAAGCATATTGTATCATAAAATGTATTTTAATCATAAATGTATGTACATTTGACATTTCTCGAATAGGTTATATTTTTATACTAATGTAGTCAAACGTAAACTGCCGCGTCGAGAAAGCTGTCGATAAAAGTACTGGAAGATAGTTTTTACCGAGATTTTAGATCTTTTTTACAATTTAATTAGAAAAATAAGTATCCTAAGTAAGCACATAAGTAACAAAAAATGTATGCGTATATGAAAGAGTTTGGAGTAACCGTTTAGAAAATGGATTTTAGTCGTTGTAAATTTTAATATTAATATATCTGCTTTTAAAGTCGAGAATGTAATTTTGTACTTAAATGTGATCTGCATTTTGCTATAGGAAGAAATGTTTCCCGTTGGGTCGTCCGGCCTAACGGATTTTTTTCCTATTTGACCGATTGATTCTATAGATCGGTACAATGGGAAATAAAAATCTCATTGGACATATTGAAATCCCAAAAAAATTGCTATTTTTTTTGCTTTTTTGTATATTTTTTTGTATTGGTATTTTTAGATGAACTAAAACCGCTAAGTTGTAGATCTCAAATAAATCTAAATGTAAAAATCTTTTCAGAAAGACTGAAATTATACGATTCCAAAAATTTTTTTCCGAAGACTAAAAAAAGCATCTCATTTTCAAATATAATTATAGATATAAGCATAAATCTGATTCGAAAATATACTCGATGTCAAAATTGTATACCATATTTTTTTACTTTTATAAAAAAATATTTAACCGCCTATTGCTAGGATAATCATCTATTCGTATAACCTTTGTAATCATAGAATTAGAGTTTTGTATCATTTTTTTAAGAATTAACTTTATTTGAGACTGTAAAAAAACAAAAAATGTAAAAACAACATAAGGAACTGTCAAATTTCCCGCTCTCATAACAATTAAAAAACCAAAACTTTTCAATGATTTAGTTTAGAATATAGTAAATTACAATATGTATTTAAAATATCAAAATTTAATAGGAACAAAAAATTTTGTAGATGCATTTTTAATGTTTTTTTTTTATTCTAAGACAAGCAGTTCCTTTTTTTTATTGTGTGCCGCAAGTTTATGGTTATGAAGCATATTGTAAAATAGGTAATAACAAAATTGTAAGTAAAAATTAGTGTTTTTTTAAATTTTTTCATACTTCGTCCGAAATTTAGAAAAAAACTATTTACCAGCTAAGCTAAACTCTGTGATTGATTGTTAAAGAACCAAAAATTGTTGATCATAATAGTTATAAAAACGACTAAAATAAGATGCGAGGATTTTGAAAATTTTTTTTCTCATTTTTTTTGTCTGTCTACTTTTTCAAAAAGACACGTGACACATGGATTTTTTTAACTTTATTTAAATAGTTAATTAACTTGCATATTTATTACGTTTTGAAATTAAGCGAATTGTGTATTTTTTTTAACTGGGTTTTTTCTTGTCTGTGATTTTTCATTTTTTCAAAATTTTCGCATCATCGGCCAATCAGGTTACAATTCTGTGATTCGAAAAATTTATACTAGTCTAATATTACGCCAGTTAGAAACAAAAACTGTATTGTTTTGCTTTACTAAGCTTTACTCTTCTTAATATATAGATATTTATGAATACCTCCGCTCGTTTGCACCCTTCTCTTATAGAAAAAAAGAATTCTTGCCTTAAAATTATAATTTTTTGGGCCACGCTTATGCCTGAAAAATATTTTTTTTGTTATACTAGACATGAAAAATCCGTTTTTTTAAAGAGTACTTTTCTTTTTTTACAGCAGTGTTTCGATATCTACAAAGTACTGTTCAAATTTGTTACGCTATTTTTTTGTAAAACTCCAAAGGCTTAATAGTTAAAGGAACAGCTTTTTGATTACAAGGTCGTGGTTTTTATTCCATTTGGGTACTGTAAACTACATCTGAGCGTAAGATTATAGTTACCAAGAAATAGTAAACCTTACTAATATAATAACTGTGAAAGTTTAGATGTATGTTGGTATCCTTAACTGTACAGATCTTGATTGTCATACATGTAGAGGATAGTCTGGAACATATAGGATATTAAATTTTATTTTTATACTACGCGATAGCTTTCAAATATTTATATAGACATTTTTATTAAGGTTTTTTTAGTTAATGTACAGTAGCACCTCGATAACTCAAACCTCGGTAACTTAAAAACCTGTATAACCTCAAAAAATATGTTCCCTTCCCAACAGAGCCCAAAACCTCTACAAAGACCCTTGATAACTTAAAACCTCTATAACTATGTATTTTGTGTTTCCCTTGGACTTTAACTTATCGAGGTTCTACTGTGTATCTTTTTTCTAAATCATAGAAAAATATTAGTTTTTTTATTCTAACTGGTGTAAGCTATCTGTTACTCTTGACTGTTGTTTCTTTTTCGTCAAAAATGCAATTTTTAGACTAATAAAAGTGTACTCTGAATTCGTTTTTTTTAAATTACCTAGTACAACCCTTCCCATACAAATTTGTATTGAAAGAACTCAAAAACTACTGGGTGAATTTCAAAAATTCTTTCACCATTGAAAAGCTATGTTATTGATGAGTAACATAGGCTATATGTATACTAATATTATAAAGAGGAAAGATTTGTAATTTTGCATGTATTGAAATAACTTAAAAAACTATGGGACTGATTTAGAAAATTCTTTCACCATTGAAAAGGTTATTTGTCAGTGAGTGACAGGCTATATTATTAATTTCACATGAACAAAGTCACAAGCAACAGCTAGTTTTTAAACATGCTAAAGTAGAGGTTCTCAACCACTGTGCCGCGGCACTTATATATGCCGCCAAATTTTGCATATTTTTGTCATAAACTATATATGCAGTGTGTTAGTTAGTTGTGTAAGCAAATAATTTTTATCTTTTTCTTTGTGTGCCGCCAAATTTTGAATATGTGCCACTACAAAAAAAGATTGAGAATAACTGATCTAAAGATTGCTGGATTATAACAAAAGGTAAATAACAATTTTACAGTGGTAGTGCCCGCTTTAACAACTTAGCACTGCAGGGCATACCCGGTGTAATACCACAACCACACAGAAGACAGGGGTGAAATGGAAGCAATTCTGTGTACAGTCTGATGAGTGTGGTGCCGGAGGCCTAATTTAAGTCCCTTTCTCTTTACCACCCTTTTCACATAAGGAGAGGATGGGAATGAAAAGTGGATTTGACGGTGGAGACGCATAGGAAGGGGAAATGTCCTCTTTATGTGTGTCTCCTCTTTTATCGGATAAGGGTAAGCAACAAATCTGCAATTGTGGATGACTATGGGCAGTCGCTTCACCATTTTGGAGGATTCAGGTGGCCGCTGTTCGTTTGCCATCTTATGTTATAAAAAAAACAAACATATTTAAAACTATTTTTTATTTAATTTCCTTTAGAATAGACAAACAAGGCTTTTTAAACGGTGATTTGTGTTGTTCTACTAATTTTTCCAATATCACACTATTTGTAAGACCAAATGACTTTTGTGCTTGTAAAAAAGTCAACAACAAGCGACCATAATTTTTGTCATTGACACAAAGCGTAGAATTTTCAATAAGCAAATTTTGTATAAAGTTTTGTAGATTTTCCGTTTTCTTATAATCTTTGTATACCAAATTTATCGTATTTAAATGATGCTGGAATACATCTGTAGTTATATTCGTCTCCAATAAAAGAGATATGAAAAATTGGTGTAGTTTTTGTGAAGATTGCATTAATTCTTGTAATATGCAACCTTTTATTGTAATATTTGTAATTAAATCCAATAAAACTGATTTAAAATCATCAGGATATGTTAAATTAGCTTTTATTAGTAAATCTAAAGCTAGCAAAGATTGATCACGTTTTAGAAACGTAGGGAAAAAGTTTGTTATAAATAAAGGAATGAATTTCGCGTTATTTTTATCTGTAAATAAATAATTGCATATTTTCTCTATACTGTTTGTTGAAAGATGTTCTGCTAAATCGGTGATTAAATAAGGGCTTTCTAGACATTTTTCTATCATAAAATCTATTCGTAGTAATGGTTCAGTGTCCATTAGGTTACAAAAGTTTTCGTCGTGAATTCTTGTTTGAACTTCCTCTTTTGATATGGAATTATCCATTGTATTTTCGACTACAGCCATTTCCTCGTCAATTATAACTTCGCTAACAAACTCCTCATTTATTTTCTTAACATTATGTTCGTCTAAATAACTTTTAGTGATATGTTTGAATTTTTCACTCCATTTATTATTGTTTTCTATTGTATTTGTTTTTTGTATCCACTTTTCGATATACGGTTCAGATAATGATGAGAACTTCCAAATGTTAGACATAATTACATAAATGTTATTACGATATAATAACAAATACAGCGAAAATTGAAAACAATAAAACAAATTCTTTTTGACATTGACAATGGACGTAACGGAAAAAGGCTTTAATCATACTGCCACATTTACTTTTGCCATTAGAAAATAAAGTAATTGAAAATTTTAATGTTTTATTCTTAAGCAAAATATTGTCTTCGAATGTCTATAATTTTAGTAAAATAAATTCATATATTAAATAAGCAAAAACTGTTTTGTTTTAAACTAGCTTGAACTAATAGAATTAATCTGAAGATGACTAATTGAAGGAAAATAAATTAATTGCTATTGTAACAGTTATAAAAACGATAAACTTCAACAGAGTTCGTTGTCCAGTAATCTAGATTTCCAACTTAAATGGACTGGATTTCTGGATGCGATGTCTTTATCAGTTCAGTCGCCAATGAACTGTCTTTGAGTTCGGTTGACTTATGTCAGTTATTGAGTTTCATTTTGTAAATATAAATAAATCGTTATTAATTTTATCTCGAAGTAAATGTAACAGTTGGTAAGTTTATATTTATGCTATTTATTGATTAGGTTTGCAGTTATACATTAATTATTGTAACAGGAAAACTATGTTTTAACTTGTTATCCAATTAATTGTACAATTTAATTCGTTTTATTTATATCATTGCGTTAAATAAATTGATTTTCCGCCTATTTTAAGGTCATCGTCATATTTATACCATTACATATATAAACATTTTATTCCACATTTATACTAAAATCTTCTGTTTTATACATTTTTTAAAGTTAATACATTTTTTTATTATTATAGATTTTTAATTTTCACGAAACTATTTCGATAATTTTTGGTAATTATTTTTTTTTATCTGAAAGTAAGAAAACACGGGAATACATACCTATTTTTAGTAAGTTACATCTATCTTTTCACTACGCAATAATTATTGTTAGTATATTTTAAAACGATTCTGTTTTTAAACGGTCAATCAAACCGGATACACAATAAAGTGTCTAGGAATAAAAAGTCGTTGTATTGACCTAATCTAGATTTTCGTATCCCGGACTGTAGACTGGTTTCTTAACTACTTTTTATTGAATCGGGAATACAAACCTCGATAGCTTAGAGTTCACATACAGGAGAACCTCGATAAGTTAAAGTCAGTCAGTTAAAATCAAGGGTCTATGTTATAGAGATTTTGGGCTCTGATGAGAAGGAAACATATTATTTTTTGAAGTTATAGAGGTTTTTATGTTACCGAGGTTTGAGTTATCGAGGTTATACTTGACCAATCAATCGCACAACTGTTATGATCGATTGTTTCGCAGCCAACTGTTTAGTTGCACAACTAAACACCGAGTAGTGTGTCTATATAAGCTAAGAATCGAAGCGAGATTAACAATTACGTGATATTTTTGTATCGTGTGCACTCTCTTAGTTCCTTGTGACCTGGGTTGCATATTAATTTATTTCCCGTGACTAAGTCCAACATTAAGGAATAACGGTAACGGTAATTTAGACATTTGCAATTGAGAATTTAAACAACTATCGCACACTTTTCTGTAGAACTTTTTGATATGTACAATTCCTTCATACATCATTTTTATATACCTCTAACGGTTTAGGCTGCGTAAGCCGAGAAAAGTTAAAATTTAGTGACTTAAACGCCGGCGTTCAGAAATACGCTTTTTATTAATAGTTCCTCGACATTAATAAATTGAAATATAGCCTATGTTACTCACAGATAATTTACCTTTTTAACAGTGAAAGAATTTTTAAATTCGACCCAGTAGTTTTTGAGTTATTTCAATACATACAAAAGTAAAGTTATTTTATAATTTCATGCGGATGAAACCGCACAGGAAGCCAGTCTGTCAATAAGAATGAAAGGAATCAGCAGTCCGGTTTAATGGTTTTAGAAAAATCTAGATAACTCGTTGTAATTCAAAACACGCGTTACAAACGTTTTATCTCCTAACGGTGATTTTTAAATACCTATTACCGTTGTATTATAGGGTTTATCCGCGACTTTAGTAAGCGTTTAGTTTTAAATAGTAGATGTTGCTCGCGACTTCGTCCGCATGAAATTAATAAATAATACAGCCTTTGTTACTCACTGATAACGTAGCTTTTTAATGGTGTAAGTTTTATTGAAATTGTCCCAGTAGTTTTTGAGTTTTTTTCAATGCAAACAAAAATCCAAATCTTTCCTCTTTGTATTAGTACTAGCTGTCCCCGTGCGACTTCATCCGCAGGAAGTTAAGAAAATTTTGTTTTATTGTTTACATATGTGAAGTTCTCAATTGCAAATGTCAAAATGACATGACATGACAAACTTTGGCAATCTTGCTTCCTTGATGTTGGCAGCAACTTATGGTCTCTTTCCCACATTAGGGTTTTAATTTTAAAAACATTTAGTTTTAAAAACATGCTGTAATTGCTGATATCTTAGGCAACAAAGAAGTGTGTGTTTACGCTTTATTATAATAGTATAGATAGATTATAAATGTGCAAGTTTAGATGTATGTTTGTTAGAGTTTATATCCTAAATTAAACGGATCTGGAACACATAGGATACGCTTTTGTTTCTTTTTAATTCCAGGAAAGAGTCGCGGTCGAAAGCCAGTTATAAAATGTTTGTTACCAACCGAACTGTGAATAATTTTCTTTGTTGATAACGCTACAGAAATAACAAATAATTCGATTATAAAATAAACTACTCGATGTTTATTTAGTTTATCTTTATTTATTCTTTTGAGTACCATTTACTAAAGACCTTTAAGCAAGTAAACAAGGTTTGTTTAAGTTGAAATAACAATACATAAGTGTTATTACAATCGAAATTAAGAGCGCATACCTTTGACTGACATCTCGCACAACTGTTTAGTCTCGCTATGATTCATACCTTAAATGGTACATTTCTTGAGTGTTAGTTGTGCAACTAAACAGTTGACTGCGAAACAATCGACAATCACAACAGTCGAGCGATATTAATAGTGACTAGGTACAGTGGTAGTGTCCGCTTTAACATCTTCGCACGAATGGGCCGGCTCGCCTGTTCCAATACCACACTGAAGACACGCGTGAAGTGAATGCAATTCCGCGTTTCGTCCGATGAGTGCGGTGCCGGAGGCCTGATTTTAGTCTCTTTCCTTTATGTGCGTCTCCTCCTCCGTCAATGAAGGGTAGGCAACGCAACTACAATTGCGGATGTTTATAGGCAGTGGTCGCTTTCCATTTCGGTGGATTCAGGTTGCCACTTGCTCGTGTGCCACCTTATATTATAAAAAAAGGCCGTAGTCAACTATACTGCACTGCGGGTTGACTTCACATATCTTTGAATTCGTTCACATATATGCATCACGATGTTTTCTTTCATAAAGTCAGGTAAATTGTGTATATACCTATAGACAAGTGTAGGGCCATCGAAGCATTTTTTTTTATTATAAAGGTGGCAAACGTGCAAGCGGCCTGAATCCACCGAAATGGAAAGCGACCGCTGCACATAAACATCCGCAGTTGCAGAAGCGTTGCCTACCCTTAATTCATGGAGGAGGAGACATATAAAGAGGACATTTCCCCTTCCTATGCGTGTCCGCCACCGTCAAATCCACTCTTCCTTCCCATCCTTTCCTCTCAATAAAAGGGTGGGAAGCGAAAGGGACAAAATTTGGCATTAAAGGGGGTACCAAAATGGGTAGGAAATATTCTCAATTCTGTATTTCAGGTAGCTATGTGGTCAGCTTTCCTACTTTTATCCGCTACGGCAGTATTCTCAATACCACTACCTGATGGAAGTACCCTGGAAAAATGTGGATATGACGTGAGTATTTTGAATATTATATATATTATACGCGGAAAAAGTCTATTCCATAACTATAGTTACTACTAGCTCTTGCTCCCGATTTCGCCCGTGTAAAATTAAAAAAATAAAGCCTATTAGCTGTTGCCCGCGACTTCGTCCGCGTGGTATTAGAAAACATGCGAACTATGTAAATAACAAAAAGCTACGTATCCCTCCGGAACCGGAAATTTCTCGGGGATGATCCTATGTGTACTCAAGACTTTGTTTTATATCTGTGCCAAATTTTAATAAGATATGTTGAACCGTTGCAGAATGATCGAGTAAACGTTAAAAAACTAAATTAACGAATCCCACGGGAACCGTAACTATTCCCGGGATAAAAAAATAGCCTATGTGTTCTTGCAGACTATGCTCTATATCTGTGCCAAATTTCATAGAGATCTGTTCAGCCGTTTAGGCTACAAACGCTAACAAACATCCATCCATCGTAACTTTTGCATTTATAATATTTATTTTATATGATGTTACCGATAACGTACCATTTTTATGGTGAAAGGATTTTTGAAATCGACCCAGTAGTTTTTGAGTTATTTCAATACATACTAAAATATAAATCTTTCCTATCTTTATAGTATCTAGTAATGATTTTTTTTTTCAATTTTCCCAAATAGTTTTTTACTTTTCAATACATATAAAAATATCAAATCTTTTCTGTTATTTCTTTTAAATAGACTTTTACATTTATAAGTTAATCGAGAGTTATAACTATAACTTGATAACATTTGAACTTGAATAAGTTATACTATTGTTTATAACAATTAGACCGTGTTGATAAAAACAAGAAATAACTTGTAAACAATGTGGTACAATTTAAATTTCCTATTATCTAAACTATACTAATATAATAAAGCGTAAACACACATTTCTTTGTTACCTAAGATGTCAGCAATTACAGCATATTTTTGAATAATTCTTTCTTTAATAAAAAGCCCTACATTTACGACATGCTTTAGGCTATACATTTTCACGCTATTAAACTTAGGGGTTAAATAAATTGAAAAAAAACAACCTTACTGTGGGAAAGGGACCATATACTACAAGCTGCCAACATCAAGGAAGCAACGGTTTGTCATTTTGACATTGACGATTGATAATTTAACATTTTTATAATAAGCGGATGAAGCTGCATGGGAATAGCTAGTACATAAAATATAATTGGAGTGTCTGTTTGTAATATCAAAAGAAACATTCTAGATTTCGTGATGATGATGTATTTGAGTTGCTGATAACGAAAATAGCATTAAAAAAATGTCTGTCTGTCTGTCTATCTGCAAGCCGCGTTTGTTCCGGGTAATCTCCGAAACGGCTTGATTTTGATGAAGGGTAGCTGACATAGACGGACATATAGGCTACTTTTTATCTTAATACTAGCTGTTCCCATGCGGCTTCATCCGCATGAAATTGTGAAAATTTTGTTTTATTGTTTACATTTGTCAAATTATCAATAGCAAATGTCAAAATGACATGACATGACAACCTCGCTTCCTTGATGTTGGCAGCAACTTATGGTCTCTTTCCCACATTGTGGTTTTTATCCAAAATATTTATCCCCTAAGTTTAATAGCGTTAAAATATACAGCCTAAAGCGTGACGTAAGTGTAGGGGTGTTTATAAAAAAAGAATTATTCGAAAATATGCTGTAATTGCTGACATCTTAGACAACAAAGTGTGTGTTTACGCTTTATTATAATCTTAATATTGCGTGGACTATAATTGCTGTCCTTATCTAACACTATGTGTATATCTTCTCTCTCTATTTCATTCATCTTGTTTCAGAGTTGTATTGAAGCGGATGCAAGTGTCCTAAATGTACATATTGTACCTCACACACACGACGACGTCGGCTGGCTCAAAACTGTCGACCAATATTACTATGGAAGTAAGTATAATTCACATTTATTTGACACTATCTCTCCCTGTACAGCTTCCGAATATTATAAAAACTTTTTTATTGATTATAAGGTTTCGCCCTTGACTCCGTCCGCGTAGAATTTAAAAAAAAAGTAGCCTATGTGTTCTTCCAGACTATTTTACGTCCATACCAAATTTCATCGAGATCCGTTCAGCAGTTTAGGCTACAAACTCTAACAAACATCCATCCATCCTTTCGCACTTGTATATTAGTTACGGTATATATCTATCTATGGTCTATTAAGTACGGCTTTTGCCATACAAATTGAATTCGATACTTCATATGCGTCATTTATCAAACTAATCTATCTTATATAGACTAACTATAACAATTATGATTATTTAAATTTACGTTGTGAAGCGAATTTCTAATCGATTACTATTCCATAGAGTAATTAAAGTTTCACAGGTAATATATTACCGTATTACCGTGGTAATTACACGGTAAATTTTGAATGAAAAAAAAAAGCTATTGTGTAGTTTTCATAATAATTTTCTTACGTAATCAGTCATTCACGGTGTTCCAATTATAATAAGAATAGCTGTTTTTTTTTCATTTTTATTTATACCCTGAGTGTCTCATCACAGCGTCGATGGCTCAGTGTTAGCACTTGACTTGTAATCTACAGGTCTTGGGTTCGAATCTCGATGTACATGTGATTTATGATTTTTATATTGATTTTTCGAATAATTATAAGTACATAATTTCGACGTTTTCACGGTGAAAGAAAACATCGTGACGCACATATCAGCGAAGAAATTCAAAGATATGTGTGAAGATAACCCGCAGTGCAGGTTGACTATGGCCTAGTCACTAACTTAGGGTAGGCTCCCTCTCAGTGACTAGTGAGCTGGTGATGAGTGTCTCAGACACAGTACATTGTAGTTGGGTTTTTATTTAATAAACTAGCTCTCGCCCGTGATTCGGACCGCGTATAAAAAAAATCAACCAAAAAAATGGGACCCACCTGCAAGCATTACCTTTAGGATAAAAAAAGAATTATCAAAATCGGTCCACTAGTGGCGGAGTTATGTAACACACATAAAAAAACACAGACGAATTGAGTACCTCCTTCTTTTGGGAAGTCGGTCAAAAAAAGTCAGTATCCTATGTGTTCCAGACTATCCTCTACATTAGACAATCATCGAGAACTAAAACATCTATCTAAACTTTCACATTTGTAATATTAGTAAGATAAATATTTCTTGCAGGTCGTAATAATATACAGAAAGCAGGTGTCCAATATATCTTGGACTCGGTAGTTAAAGAACTATGGGAAGACCCGAAGCGAAGGTAATAGCTGTTCTTTATGGTCGTTTAAAATAGCATCTCGAAAATTTTGATTTTTTTATTACTAGCTAACGCTCGCGATTTCATCCGCGTGAAATTAAAATAAAGCCCATGTTATTCACTGATATCGTAGCTTTTTATTGGTGAAAGAATTATTGAAATTGACCCAGTAGTTTTTGAGTTATTTCATTATATACAAAAATACCAATCTGTCATCTTTATAATATTGGTGTAGATTTGAGAACGATCTTTTTTTAATGTTATGGTAATAAACATTTTTGGGACATTACAAGTATCGATTGATTTTAATAGAAAGATTCCTAACTATATACAAGTTAAAAAAATTTAAAAAAAATATGATTTTTTCAATTTTTTTTTAGATTTTTTTTTATTTTGTGACTTACATAGTTTTATTTCGTAATGTAGATTTATCTACGTAGAGACGGCATTCTTTTGGAAATGGTGGACTAAGCAACCAGGTACAGTTAGGGATAAAGTCCGTGCGTTGGTTAGACAAGGACGGCTGCAGATGGTGGGAGGAGCTTGGAGTATGAATGATGAAGCGGCTTCTCATTATCAAAGTACTATAGACCAATTTACTTATGGATTAGGGTAAGATATTAAAAAGATATTAAAAAAGCACCTTTTATTATTGTTATTGATAGAACTTGGAGCAATTTGAGAGGCTCTTAATTTGAAAAAACTTTCTAATTGTCTTTGATTTCAATTGCTAATTATATCAGAAGAAAAAATCTTGTTCGATTAGTAAATAAGACTGTATTACGTCAGTTAGTTTAAATTTTTTGCGTTTTTTTGTCGTTTTTTTGAAAATTGTCTGATTGCAAATTATGATAGAATTCAGATCAATAGTCGGCAGTTAAAAAAAAGAATTAAAAATAGACTTTTTATTAAATCTTTGATAGCAATTGCTAATTATATAATTTTTTTTAAAAAGATTATCGTTAATCGGTTACTAATGAAAGCAGACAAATCGAATAAACTATTTTTTTCGTGACATTTTTTCAAAAAATCATTGATTTTGTATATTATTTAGTGACTCGATGAATAGTTTTAGACTTCTCATTACAGGACCAAATAATATTTACTTACTAAAGAAAATTGTCTCATTTTTGCCATAGATTTAGCTTTTATTTTACATTTTTTTGTTATTTTTTTCTAGTAAATTGAACCAAACTTTCGGTTCTTGTGGTCGTCCTCATGTTGGTTGGCAGATAGACCCTTTTGGACATTCTAGAGAATTCGCATCTCTTCTATCAGCTATGGGATATGATGGTCTCTTCTTAGGTAGAATAGACTATCAGGATAAGAGAATGAGATTGATAGAGAAGAAAATGGAAATGGTTTGGAGAGGAGATGATAATTTAGGTGAGTTTTTTTGACAGGATTTTTGATGTAATATTTTGTGATTGATTTTTTATAAAAATATAGAATTTTAGCAATGCTTGTAATTTAATTGTTTTTTTTTTATCTTTTTTTCCAACTGTCTATGTATAGTTGTAAAAATTTCTTGAATGTCTAAGTTTTTAAATATTGGGTTTTGTTAAAATTGGAAAAAATAATTTTTTCGACATTTTTTTCCTTTTTTTCGTAGGTAAATCATCAGATATATTTACCGGAGTATTATACAATACATATTCACCTCCTCCTGGATTTTGTTTCGACGTACTTTGTAATGATGAACCAATTATAGATGACCCCAGCTCGCCTATGTATAATGTGGATCAAAAGGTCAGTTTATAATTGATTTTTTTATTACTAGCAGATTTTTTAGTAATCCCAACAAAGCTTTTGGATAGTTATAGTCCAATGGTTCGAATCCATGATCATTTAAAGGGTCTAGCACGAAAATTTCCGATAAAGTATACGTTAATGACCAAATTTATATTAAATTTTTTGCTGTTTTTTATTTTTTGATTAATTATAGATTTCTTAATTTAAATTTTTACAGATTTTTTTTGGTTTTTTAGGTTTTTTAAATTTTTTTTAAAATTGTAATTACGTTTGCATTTTGGTTATTTTTGTGTAACAAATTAAAAATGACAAAAGAGCAAGGTTTTCTTGTTCAGTAACTATTATAGTTTTTTTATTATTTACTATTCAAAAGGTGGGAAAATTCCTTCGTATATGTCAAAAAATGTCTAATGGCTATAAAACGAAAAACATATTAGTAACGATGGGTGAAGATTTTCACTACCAAGATGCTAACTTGTGGTTCAAAAATCTAGATATATTAATAAAGTAAGTCTTACATCTAAATTTAAGCATGGCTTTTAAAAAAAAACAATAAAAAAGCTTTTTATTATTATTTAATGCACAAAAACAGTGTAATTGGCATGTTTTTTGCATTGAAACATCAATTTTATTTTAAGGTTATAAAATAATAGATTACTAGGCAAGAATATGTATTGAATAAGGTTTTCTGTTATCGAAATATAAATTCTATTATAGATTCTGCATGCAAACATACATTTAATATTAATAATAAACGTTTGATCAGTTCCAAAACACATTGCAACTTAATACACTTGAAGAAAAAAAATATAAACGAGAAAAAAAAATATTAAGACCTCTGATTCACTAGATCATGTCATTTAAGTCGTAAATAATGAAAATTGGATCTAAAAGTACCCAAAACCAACGAAACCGTGCATTGTACGTAGGTAGGTTTATAACACATTATCAAAAACATTTTATAATCTGTCTGCTGAATATTAGCTGTTGCTTGCGACTTCGTCCTCGTGAAATTAAAAAATATTGAACAAAATATAGCCTGTGTTACTCATAGATAAATTACCTTTCTAATGGTGAAAGAATGTTTAATATTGTCCCAGTAGTTTTTGAGTTACCTTTTTAATGTTGAAAGAATTTTTAAAATTGTCCCAGTAGTTTTTGAGTTATTTCAATCCATACAGTAATACAAATCTCTATAATATTAGTATAGACTAGGGAAAGAGATGTGAAAAATAATAATTTATCCTCTTCATATGAGTGTTCACACAATCAATTGATACAACTGGAAACATTTCTAAAAGACCAATAGTTCAGTAGACTAAACGGCACAATAGAATAAAATCACCTTAAAAAATCCTCCCTACTTCCAGTTTTAAAAGTCCTTTGTTTTAAAACGAGCTGTTGCCCGCAACTTCGTCCGCGTGGTATTAGAAAACATACGAACTATATAAATTATAAAAAGCTACGTATCCCGGGAACCGGACATGTCTCGGGGATGAAGCTTATCCCATGTGTACTCCACACTTTGTTTTATATCTGTGACAAATTTCAATAAGATATGTTGAACCGTTGCAGAATGATCGAGTAAACATTAAAAAACTAAATTAATGAATCCCACGGAAACCTTAACTATTCCCGGGATAAAAAGTAGCCTATGTGTTCTTCCAGACTATGCTCTAAACCTGTACCAAATTTCATGGAGATCCGTTCAGCCATTTAGGCTACAAACGCTAACAAACATCCATCCATCCATCCATCTAAACTTTCGCATTTATAATATTAGTAAGATTAGTAAGATTAGTAAGATCTATGATAGTCACTGAACAATTGAACTTGCTCTTTGAACCATAGTCTATAATAGAGACCATTACTGTTTTATATTAAACGAGAAAAAATAAAAAATATAGTCTATGTTACTGACTGATAACGTAGCTTTCTAATGGTGAAAGAACTTTTAAAATTGTCCCAGTAGTTTTTGAGTTATTTCTATACAAACAAATCTTTCCTCTTAATTTAGTATAGATAAGACTATGGTTTCTTCCGTTAGGTTGCCAATTTCCTGGACAAAGTAAAGGAAATGTCAAACGGGTATAGAACAAAAAATATCCTGGTGACAATGGGGGATGATTTTCAATATCAGGATGCTGGAATGTGGTTCATAAATTTGGACAGATTGATTAAGTAAGTCAACACGTTAAGACACACGTGTACACGTACCAGGTCTAAAACACCTGGTAAAGTATATAATAGATACTCGCCACTTCATTATCATCAACTTGCCCTTATCCCTTGTGGAGGGTAGGCAGAGTATGTGCTCCTCTATACATCTCTATCAGCCGTATCTGACTCCACTCCTTTCTTAAGCATATCCTCTTTCACACAATCCATCCATACTGTCTTCGGTCTTCCTCTACTATTGTAGCCATCAACATTCATTATTAACACATTCTGGTTTATATCCCTATCGTCTCGTCACATACCACGTCCATACCACTCTAACCTTTTGCTTATGATACTTGCCACTTCGCCCGCGTAAAATAAAAAAAAAGTAATAAAAAATACAGCCTATGTTACTAAATAATGTAGCTTTTTAACGGTGAAAGAATTTTTGAAATCGGCCCGTTAGTTTTGGTGTTATTTCAATATTTACAAAAATAAAAATCTTTCCTCTTTATAATATTAGTATACCGGGTGTATTACACCTGGTACCGCAGGTATTAAAAGGATAGTAAAATCAGCCGTCAAACGTCTTAAACGGTGTAAGAGCAAAAAAAGGGGGACACGGGTCTGGGTACAAAATCTAATAAAAGTCTGTTACTCCCAAACCTGGTGAAACACCCACAAACAGAAATAGTACAAAAGTGCGTTTTTGTGACAATAATAAGACTGATTGAATGCTATGTAGCACAGAGGAGCAACATCTCCCCCACAAAAAGGAGAAAACAGTGAAATCTTACTAATTTTATGTGTGTTTGTTTGCATCGTAAACTGAAGGGATTTTGATTGTCATGTAGAGAATAGTCAAAACACATAGTGTACTTACGTTTTTAATTCCACGGACAGAGTCGCGGGCGAATGCTAGTAAATACTAAGATCACTATACATAGGGATCAGTGTAGAAACTCAAAGGTTTTCATTAAAGAATTCTCTTTGAAATAATAAAAAAAATTATTACCACTAGCCCCTTCTTGATTATTTACATGCCCCCTTCTAGGTCATTATTTGGCAACCTGCCATCTCATTCTAAACTACTCAAAATAATTTAGTATCAATCTATTTGGATTTCCTTAAGTATTATACACTCCGTAATTTGTTTTTTTTTTTTAAATTTTTTTTATGTAATTAAAGTTTGGCAAGAATGGATAAAGTTAAGAATGTGTTAGAGAAAGTTTGAAAGTGACGCCAGTGGTGGAGAAATTGAGAAGCAAAAAGTTAGCATGGTATGGACATGTTATGCGACGAGACGATGGGGACATGAACCAGAAAGTGTTAAGAATGAATGTGGATGGCTACAAAGGTAGAGGAAGACCGAAGAAAATATGGATAGATTGTGTGAAAGAGTATATGCTTAAGAAAGGAGTGGATTCAGATATGACGGCTGAATGGAAGAGGAGAACATACTGTGCCGACCCTCCATAAGGGATAAGGGCAAGTTGATGATTACGATGATGAGTTTTTTTAATAATTTACAAGCATGAATTTAGCATACTGCTAGCTACTTACGTTCACGTTAGTTTTGGGTACATAAAAATATCAAAAATCATTCTGGGATATATAATATCATGTTTGCTGTTTTTAAAATTAGAAGAATCATTAAATATATAATATTTGTTACAAGAAATAACCAAAATTCAAACATATATCGTTCAAATTTAAACTAGTTATACAGAATTCTTTTTTCTATAAAAAATAGTCTATTACAAAATTTTTCATTTCAAACATTTATTTCATATAACAAATACTTCACTTTAATTCGCCAAATAACTAAAAAGGCGAATTAAATTAAATTTATAGGCATCTCTAGCCTATAATCTAGACAAGGTTTTGAACAGCTGCCATAATTCCTCCCAAAATGGCAATTTTTTTCTGTTGAATTCTTAATTTCATATTGGGACAAAGAACATAAACTGTGAAAAAACCTGATATATCAAATGATCACTTACAAAGTTCTTAGTATACTTAAAAAAATTAAAAAACGTCGATTTTTTTTCTTCTACCAATTAACTAATTTACTCGTTAAATTGGAACGATATAGTTATAATTGATGATGGATCAAAAAAATATAAAAAAAAAACAAAAACACTTTAAAAAATCACGCAAAAATGTGCCTTATCTACATAAAAATAGATCTAAAATAATAAAAATTGACCCATCACATGCTTTTACGTTATTATTCAGATAAGTGATTTCCTGGAATATGTTTTCGAAGCAAGTAAGAGATACAGGACAAAAAATGTTCTAATCACAATGGGAGGGGATTTTACTTACCAAGATGCAAGCATGTGGTATAATAACTTGGATAAGTTGATTAAGTAAGTAATATTTAACAAAAATATCTCAATACTAGCTTTCACTTGCGACTCCGTCCGCGCATAATAAAAAAAATAAGCAATTTCATCGAAATCCATTCAGTGGTTTAGGCTACAAACTCTAACATCCATCTAAACTTTCATATTTATAATATTAGTATAGTATGATTACGGGAATACAAATTAACAGTAACCTAACCAATAATTTAAATATATTAACTCATGCCCGTGATTCCGTCTGCGTGTAAATAAAAAATAAAATGAAGTGTGCTATGTTTTTCCAGACTATCCTCTACATGTAGGACACAAATTATAACAAACGTACATCCATCTAAACTTTCGCATTTATAATATACTAGCTGTTGCTCGCGACTTCGCCCGCGTGAAATTAAAATATAGCCTATATTACACACAGATGAATTACCTTTCTAACGGTAAAAGAATTCTTAACATCGGCCCAGTAGTTTTTGAGTTATTTCAATACATACAAAATTCCAAATATACTAATCTCTCCTTTATATAATATTAGTATAAGTAAAGAAGGAAAACAAACTCTAACAAACATATATCCATCAAAACTTTCGCATTTATAATATTAGTTTAATGTTGAAAATTAGTTAAACCATTTCCGAATATTGTACCAATATATTTTAGATGTATGAATTTGGACTAGAAAGAGCTGTGCTAATTATAAATGCGAAAGTTCAAATGTCTGTTTGTATCTAAAACTGAACGGATCTCGATGATTGTCATACATGTAGAGGATAGAACACAGAATAACAGTGGTAGTGCCCGCTTTAACATCTTAGCACTGCAGGGCTCGCCCACCACGACCACACAGACAGCCGTGAAGTGGAAGCAATTCCGTGTACAGTCTGATGAGTGTGGTGCCGGAGGCCTCATTTAAGTCCCTTTCTCTTTACCACACTTTTCTTATAAAGAGAGGTTGGGAAGGGGAATTGGATTTGACGTTGCAGGAGATGCATAGGAAGGGGAAATATACTCTTTATGTGCGTCTCCTCCTCCGTCGTATAAGAGTAGGCAACGCATCTGCAACTGCGGATGTCTATGGGCAGTCGCTTCGCCATTTTGGCGGATTCTAGTGGCCGCTTGCTCGTTTGCCACCTTATGTTATAAAAAAAACACTTATGTTTTTAATTGCACGCGGACAGAGTCGCGGGCGAATGCTAGTAAATACTAAGATCACTATACCTAAAATTTAGTTTAAAATTTTGTTCATGTAAGCATTCTCTTTGGAGTAATAAAAAATGTTTTTACCATTAGCCCTTTCTTGATTATTTACAAGCAAGAGGGGGCTAGTGGTATAAATATTATTACCACTAGCCCCCTCCTAGGTCGTTGACCAATTGATAATCTGGAACACATAGGATACTTTTTTATTTCGTGTGGATGAAATCGCGTGTAAAACTTATATTTTTCCAACAGACATACGAATTTGAAGGCAGCTAAAGATGGTCTTGGAATAAAAGCTTTCTACTCAACCCCTGATTGTTATTTGAAAGCTGTGAAAAATGCTTAGTAAGTTTTTTTTTATTAACTTAGTTAAGTATCTAATTTTATGTTTATACTAATTTTACAGGATTCAAAAAATATGTAATTATGAATACGCAAAAAAAAATTTTTTTTTTTTTACAGAAAAAAAATCAAAAAATCTCAATACACATTTTTTATAAACGATCGTTTGCTTTGGCATTATTTAAAAAAAAAGTGTTTTTTTTTCTATCAATACATACTATTTTTTTATGTTTTTTGTATGTCAATTTTTTTTTTCAAAAATAAATGAAAAATAAAAAATCTCAACTGACATTTTTCAGATACGATCTTTTGCTTTATAATTATAAAAAAAATGTGTTTTTTGTATCTATACATACCATTTTTTGTAAGTTTTTTGTATGTCAATTTTTTTATTTTTCGAAAAAAATAAAAAATCTTAACTGACATTTTTCAGATACGATAGTTTGCTTTGGAATTATTGAAAAAATTTTTTTTTTGTATTTACGGATACTATTTTGTATAGATCTTTTATTTTTTAAAAATAAATATGGTTTTTTTTATTATTTTCTCTCCAGTCCCAGTTTACCGACAAAACAAGATGATTTCTTTCCTTACGCGAGCGATCCTACCGCTTATTGGACTGGATATTTCACTTCTAGACCGACAACTAAATACTTTGAAAGGCAATCTAACGCCTTTTTACAGGTATCTATACTAATACAGTAGATACTCGATAAGTTAAAGTCCAAGGGAAACAAAATACTTTAAGTTATAGAGGTTTTAAGTTATCAAGGGTCTTTGTAGAGGTTTTGGGCTCTGATGGGAAGGGAACATATTTTTTGAAGTTATAGAGGTTTTTATGTTACCGAGGTTTGAGTTATCGAGGTTCTACTGTAGGATCTCAATTACAGTATATTTTTTTTAATTCTTCTATATGTATACTAATATTAAAAAAATAAACACACTTTGTGACGTAAGATGTCAGCAATCACAATATATTTTTGAATAATACTTCTTTTAATAAAAAGCGCTACATTTGTATTACGCTTTACGCTATATATTTTCACGCTATTACACTTAGGGAGTTAATAATAAGGAAAAAACCTCATGCTAGATAGGGACAAAAACAAGCCAATAGCAAAGCAACGGTAATTGTTATCCAATAGCAAAAATTGTATTTGAGTATTTTTTTGACATAATTTATTATAAATCGTCGGTTAAATAGAAAAATGGCTGTTCAAAATGTACTTTTTTTAACACAAGCTTTATAGTTTTTAAACATTTTTTTTTATTTTTTTTGAATTAACATGGAAATTTTATAGTTATTTTCATTATATATTAAAAAATTTGTTTACAGTAGGCCATTTTTTTATAATCTAATTTTACGAAAAATCTTAAAAAAATTTCGCTTTTTTTATTTTGATGAGGTCAAGAATAGGTGATTTCTTCAACTTTTAGTATATTGTAATATTTTACTCGATAAATACGCAGTTTTGTCCGTATTTAAAATAAATATGTTATTTCAGATGGTAAAAAATCTTCAAGTAATGTTCAATCTTCCTAAACATAATGAATTTGTAATTGACGAACTAAAAAGCGCTATGGGTAAGTAATATATACAAATATTATGAAGAAAAAATTTTTTTTTGTATTTTTTTTTGTAACAAACTCAAAAAATGATTTTAAATAACCTTTCACCATTATAAAGATTCATTATCACTGAATATATGGTACTTTTTAGTTTTTTTTTTATCCTGCATAGATGAAAATTGTTGTAATAAAAAATAACAATAACCTTATTTAGAGCTTTTCTCAAGATTTTCTTGTACTTCATTTTTTTTGTCTATTTTTTATATTCTTTGACATTTTTGGAGGTTTTCTATGTTTATACCAATTTTTCATTTTTTTGTGATGTTTTCATATTTTTTTGTTATTTTTTATATTATGTTTCCTGTCGTTTTTCATGTTTTTTTTTGATGTTTTTTTTAGTATTTTTTGCTACTCTTTTCATATTTCTGTCGATTTATTTATATTTTTCGTGATTTTTTCGCATTTTTTGTTATTTTGTTTCAATGTTTTTTGTATAAAAATGCGGTGTATAGGTGTGATGCAACACCACGACGCGATCACGGGCACTGAGAAGCAGCACGTGGCTCACGACTACGAGAGAATACTGACCAATGCTGTTGATGACGTCATGATTGTACCTAACCAGGCTTTTAAGTAAGTTACTATACTTTTATTTATTAACTAGCTATTTCCCGCGACTCTGGGTGGATTTTTTTCTATTAGGCAGAGAATATGACGACACCATTTATCACATTGTTGTTGAGCGCTTTATTATTTGATTTTAATACAAGCTTTCGACCGCGAGGATTTAAAAAAAAATCAAAAGCAACTAGCCTATGTGTAATTTTGAATTTATTGAAATAACTCAAAAACTACTGGGATAATTTCAAAAAACTACGTTTTTAGTAACATAGGCCATTTTATTGTTTTTTTTTAATTTCTCTCGAGTGAACTCGCGAGCAACAGCTAGTCTATAATAAAATGGATTTCTTTATAAGTTTATTTATTTATTTACAGCAAAGTTTTAAAAGCCAAAGGTTATGAAGGACCAGAACTCGAATATAAAAGATGTCATCTCAATGAATCTTCTTGCAGCGTCTCGGAACAGAAGAAATCTTTTATCGTAAGCGAAAAATACTATATTTAACATTTACTAAAAGTTTTAACACTTATAAGACAAAATCTATAATAATAAAGAGGAAAGATTTGTAATTTTGTATCGAAATAACTAAAAAACTGGGTCAATTTCACCAATAAAAAGCTAAGCAATGAGTAACATAGGCTATTTTTTGGTACGGAATAAAATGCAAACTAAAATTAAAATTGATTATAGCGCCATCTAGTTTTACAAAAAATATTTTTTATTCAGGTCACAATTTTCAATCCATTAGCTTGGTCTGTGAAAGAACCTATCAGGATTCCTGTGATTGACGGTAGTTATAAAATAAAAGGACCTAATGGTAAGTTAAGTACTAAATAATAAAAAAAACCCTTCTATAACAAAATACATCAAATGACACTAAAAATCTACATTATTTTGGCCAAATTAACTTAACACTGAAAAAGATATTTTAATTTCTAACAAAAGAAATTAAGAAGTCTCTTTGGAATAAAAAAAAACTAGCCTCCCTTCATCATCAACCTGCCCCACCATCTTGTTTAGCAACGCACCACCCCCACTTAATCGTAAACCTATCCACCCCTCTCTTTATAATCAACCCGCGCCCTCCACTATATCAAAACTCACACCTACCGACTTTATCAATCGCACCCTCCCCCACTTTATCATCAACCTACCCCCCACTTAATTCTAAACTCGCCTACCCACCTTAGTATCAACTAACGACCCCCACTGAATCCTAAACTCGCCACCTTAGTATCAACTAACCACCCCCACTGAATCCTAAACCTGCCCCCTCACTTTATTATCAACCCTCAACCTTGATCATCAGACAACTATCTTCTATCATCCTATTCATCTTATTTCAGCAACAGAAATAAACTACCAATTACTAGATATACCAGAATCAGTAAAAAATATACCAACAAGAAAATCCTCAGCTACCCACGAATTGGTTTTCATAACTGAATTGCAACCTTTAAGTTTTCAAACATATCTTATAACGAAAAACGACCAAAAAACAAAAAGAAACACAAAAACACAGGAAAATCAAAGAAAAAACGATTTCTATACTAATTTGAACGATTATTGGATGAAAAAAACTCCTGTAGATATAAAAAATTTGGATGAAAAAGACGCAATTTGCGATAAAAATCTAGAATCGAAAGATAAAAATCTAGATTTCGATGTATTTAAGGATAAAAATTATGGTATAAGTGAAGATATATTACAATTGGAGAAGATAATAAGAGAAGCAAAGAGAAATATGGAGAAAGAGCCGAGAGAAAATCTGGCGAAGAAATTGAACTATCCGAGTTTAAATTATGAAGAAATGAGGATGTTATCTGATGAACCGGCTGTTGTTAACATGATTGAAGATATCTACATCGAAAATGAGGTAAGGTTAAAAAAAAAACCAAAAAAAAATTTTTTTTTCTTAATTTTTTCATATTTTGATTTTTTAACCGATTTAAAAATGACGTTCTTAATTTGATGAGCATTTTTCTGTTGTAAATACTAAATTAAACACTATCAAGTAGTTTTTGAGTTTTTCCTGAAAAAAGTACCAAAAATCAGAAATTTTATTGTTTTTTTCGTTGGTTTTCGTTGTTTGATTTTTCGATATTCGACTATTCAATTTGCGTTACGAAAAAAAAGCATTTTTAAATTCATATATACCTACCCCCTTTAAGTTGCAGTATTAGGATTTTTCCAGTATACTATAAATAAGAGTTTTATTCACCATAAATAATATTTTTTGTACAAAATTTTTTTTTTTTTCATCTGAATTTTTTTTTAATACATATTTTAATTAAAACAATATGAATACTAACATATTAATGTTATTTCCAGAATTTAAAACTACGTTTAGACAATCAAGGGATTATACAACTAATACAAAATTCAACAACATTGAAATTCGCTATAAACTTATACTACTGGTCCGCTTGTAATGGCGACAACACTAATACTACAGAGAGATCCTCTGGCGCTTATATTTTCCGTCCAAATATAACAAAACCGATACAATTAAATCCAATAAGTAACGAAATAAAAAAGGGTAACATTGTTTCTGAAGTTAGAAATACATACGAGGGAAATGTTAGCATAACAACGCGTTTATATAACAATTTAGATTATATCGAAATAGATTTTACTGTAGGTCCGATTCCCATAGATGATAACATAGGTAAAGAATATATAATAAAATATCAAACAGATATAAATAATGATGGTATTTTTTACACTGATTCTAATGGTAGGCAAATGTTGAAACGGAAACTAAATGAACGACCACAATGGAATTTGACATTAGCGGAACCGATAGCCGGAAATTATTATCCAATAACTAATAAAATATATATAGAAGATGATAAAAATCGTCTGTCTGTGTTAACTGATAGATCAGAAGGTGGAAGTTCATTAAATAACGGGGAAATTGAGGTTATGTTACACAGACGGTTGTTACATGACGACGCGTTCGGTGTTGGTGAAGCGTTGAATGAAATTTTGAACGAAAAAGGACTAGTTGTTAGAGGAACACAAAGATTATTAACAAAGAAATCAGATTTAAACAGAAAACGTGTGTTAGAATTTCATTATAAACCAATAATATTGTTAGCGGATGCTGAAAGTTTTGATCTGTCAAAATTTGACATTAAAACTATCGGTTTAAAAAATCCGTTGCCGTTTGGAGTACATTTATTATCTTTAGAATGTTGGAATGATAATATGTTGGTGAGAATTGAAAATTATTTGGATATAAATTCAACCATTGAAGTGGATTTAAGTGAATTGTTTAATTTTGTTAAGATAAAATCTTTTAAAGAGACAACTTTAGCCGCGAATCTATGGTTGGATGAATACGAGAAAATTAATTGGACCACAGATAATGAATTTGTCGATTTTAACGAAAATATTGTTTTTGATGATGGTTTTAAAGTTAAAATTAAATCTAAACAAATCCGTACATTTATTATTGAATACGAATATGTAGGTTTTATGTAATTATTACGAATTGATCAAATTGTGATTTTTATGTTTACTTTATTGAAATATACGAATATGACATTTTATTGCCTTTTATTTAAAAATCCACCTCAACCATATTAACACATTTCAAGTAAAAATTTGACAACGAGTCATACTTTAAAGCCGATTCACAGTTCAGTTGCACATAATTTTCAACTGAACAGTTTGACTGTTCTCTTGAAAATTGTGCATGTGAAAGCAACATTAACTGTACAGTTTAACTGCCAGAACGTATCGGGCGAGAGCTTTCAAATAAAAAAAAAAACAGTTTTTTTTTTTGACTTAAAGGCTTGAAAAGATATCTCCCTTCTGGTTTTTACAACAAAAATCTTATCACTATATATGTATAATAAAACAAAATAATTTTTTATCCTCCATGTAATGTAGATATAAACATTATAACATCATTATTCTGTAATTCATAATTTAATTCTCCAAATAATTCCCAATCTGCATCATTTATTAACACTAATATACCTGGCCGCACGGAATCACCCTTAAAACATAAAAAAAACACTGTAAATAAAATAAACAGAAATAAATTTCCGACAGCCCTAGAAAAAAGTTTAAATTTATACCTGTAGAAATAACTCTGGTCTTTCTCTTAATAAATTATCTTTAATCCAAACTAATAAATGTTTAATAGTCCATTTAATATCTGTGCATTCCGGGAATAATTTAATTAATTCTGGCAACACTATTTCTCGCTTTTTAATTTTATCAAACAGTAATTCTGCACCACCAGCAAATTGCAATTGCAATTTTAATGAATCTGCCATTTTAACTGAAAATTTTCATTTAAAAAGTCATTAAAAACGTTATTAGCTAATATTTACTATCTTTTAAGACAATTCTTCTAAATTAGATAACAAGATTCAGCTAAACCATTCTAAACAACGAAATCTAATTTGTAAATAAACTTTATTGTGTAGTTCAAGGAAAATATTGAGTAAATTCTAATGATTAGTTACTATACGATTGTACTATTTATTTTGAAAATGTACTAACAGATATTACGTATTCCTACAATTAATATTGTAAAAAGCTTAACAAGTTAATTTTTATAGTAAACAATTGTTTCTTTTAATTATTAAAATTTGGTCAATTTTACCTTTATATAAATTACTTCAAGAAATACAAATGATCGTTTTCTACAACACTGTAAACTTTAACAGTATTGAGTTAAAACTTTTAGTTAAATAAATACTTTTTAGTATCGAACGAGGTTATATTATTGTCGTTAACGCTTATGTCACTTGTCAACGTAATTGACAGATTAAACAATTGTTGCCATTTTTAATGTTGAAATTATTTAACGGTAACTTTTCTCACAAGAATTTCAATCGTGTGTCATCCTACTAATATTATAAATGCGAAAGTTTAGATGGATGGATGTATGTTTGTTAGCGTTTGTAGCCTAAACGGCTGAACGGATCTCCATGAAATTTGGCACAGGTCTAGAGCATAGTCTGGAAGAACACATAGGCTACTTTTTATCCCGGGAATAGTTACGGTTCCCGTGGGATTCATTAATTTAGTTTTTTAATGTTTACTCTATCATTCTGCAACGGTTCAACATATCTTTTAGAAATTTAAAACAAAGTCTGGAGTATACATGGGATAAGGTTTTTCCCCGAGATGTGTTCGGTTCCTGAGGGATACGTAGCTTTTTGTTATTTATGTAGTTCGTATGTTTTCTAATACCACGCGGACGAAGTCGCGGGCAACAGCTCGTACGTCGTAGTATAAATACGAAAGTTAAAAGCCTAAGCGTAATTCGATAAATATTTTCTACATAGGATAAATATTAACAAAAGAAATGAAATGCGATATTGTTTTCTAAAGAAATCCTTCTTGATTTCGTGTATTTTCACGTGGATTTTTAATCATAGTACTTAAACAGTTTTTACATAAAAAGTTTACGTTTATTTTTAATTAAAAATATCTGAGGAGTAAAAAGAAATAAATAAAACATCACTTTGTGTCAAAAATTTATTCATATACATTCGATTCTTACAAAATTTTCAACTTAAACATGATCAAATAAAATAAAGATTATTGAAGACAATTATTTCCTACCCAATTTCAGTGTTGCCATTTAAATTGAAATTTTCATAAGAAATCTCCCCACTTAGGCACTTAACGATATTATAGTCCGATAAAATTATTTGACCCGTGAGCAATTAAAAACATATTTTATTATAAAATTCTTGTATATTCAATACTAAATTAAATGTGACAATTTTTTAACATAAATTGACTTGGAATAATTTTGTTTTTAAAATTGTATGCATTTTATGGAAGATATCAACTCAAGATAAATTTATCGGACTAAAATTTTAATTAAAAATTATTAGAAAAGAGAAATTATACAAAGATTTGGGCTGGTAACTTCGCTATTTTGGCGAATTCCATTTTTTCCTATATGTACCATATTTGCTGTCGTTTTTATATTGTTACTGCGTTTCTCAACTCTTGAGTTTTTAAATTATTTTATACAACGTAAAAACTATTTGTTTCTGTTTTTTGGTGTCTTTTACTAATAAAATCAAAACACACTTTGTTACGTAGAATTGCAGAATATTTTCAAATTCCTTGTTTTAATAATGCCCTGGATTTACTACACAATATAGGATATATTTTCACGCTATTAAACTTAGAGAGGGTGAACAAATTGGACAAAAATGCGGTAAAGAGATAAAAACAAACCAATAGCTAAAGAATATTGTAATGGTGCCAAAATTCAAAACAGTTATATACTAATATAACGAAGACAGATTTGTATTTTTGTTTACTGAAATAACTCAAAAACTAAGCCGATTTGTTCTTTCACGTAAGTAACATAGATTTTTTTTTTCACGAGGACAAAGTCGCGAGCAACAGCTTGTCTATTATAAAGAGGAATAATTTGTATTTAAATAACTCAAAAATTGAACAAAAACGCATTCACCATTAAAAAGCTACGTTATCACTAACATAGTTTATTTTTATTATACTTTTTACGCGGACAAAACCGCGAGAAAACAGCTAGTTTACTTATAAAAGTGTAAGGGCCTGTCCCACCAAATTGTTAGTCCACATAAAGTGTAAAATATGTGAGAAATATCGGATTTTGTTCCCTTATCTGACGTCTATCTGAGCCTCTATCAGCCAGTAATGGGAAAGGCCCTAAAGATACGTTTGTTATAATTTCTCGTTTAAAGTTAAGTTTAAGTGTACAACTGTGGGTGTTGTTCGACTATAGTCCTGTCAGCGAGAGTGGTCAGTTTGCTCGCTATAAAGAATTTTAAGGTATCTCTGAGAGGGACAGGGAAGGAAGGGGAGGGGACAACGAGCGCGAGTACACGGTAACAACCCGACGTCTTCCAACGTATCCTGTATTGTTTGTTTTCAGACTGGAAAGGGGAAATAATACTAATATTATATATAGAATTAATATTAAGTATTGTGTAGACTATGTTTTTTATCTGTGGTACATTATATAGAGATTTAAATAGTTTTGGAGGTATATAGTAAATAACATCCATACAATCTTTTGCATTTGTATGAAGTATTTGTGTCACAGATACAGAACATAGTCTGGAAGAAAATTAAGACTATTCAATAAGTAAAACCCACCAAAAGTTACCAAAACTTCATACCCCTCTTGAATTAATATGATTAAAACTACCAAGTTACTAAAACTTCATTTCTCTCTAAAATCACTGAAATTAAACTCCCAAAACTGCATTTCCCTCCTGTATTAATCTGAATAAAAGTAACAAAAGTTGCCAGAATTCTATTTCCAACTCAATTTCCCTCTTAAATCAACCTGTTAAAGGTAAAAACTACCAAAGTTACTCAAAGTTCATTTCCCTTCCGTATCAATCTGGTAAAAACTACCAAAAGTTACCAAAACCTACCAAAAATAATTTCTCTCCCGAAGCACCCCTGTGAAAACTACCAAAAGTTACCAAAATCTACCGAAAACTACCATCTCACCTTGATCAAGCCCAGCCCCCTCAGCATGGTGTTCGCCAGCAGCCAGGCGGACGCGTGCTGCTGCGCGGCCCGCTTCAGCATCACCGGGTACAGCTGCAGCGCCACCTGCTGCGCCAGCTGGCTCTCCTCCGACAACCCTGACACGGAGAAGGTGGCCTCCACGTACGCGGTGATCAGCTCTGATGGCTCTTTGATCACCTGGACACATGTAAAATGCATAAAAAATGTAGCCTCCCAATTTGTTTCAGGAAGATTACTCACTGCAGACAGTGTTTAGTTTTGAGAGTATTTTGCAGGGTAAAATAGCGTTTACTTTTTTGCACTTGGGTAAATCGTTTTTTTTTTTTTTACAGCGAAGATAACGCCCCATAAATCTTAAACAAAACTAAATAACTGAATGTTTTCTTAAAACAGATGTCGGCCAACTTAAACACCATCCTCGTCCGTAGACGGGTAAGCCAGGATAGTGTTTAAGTGACCGACATAACATCCATAACCTCAAAATAGTTGAGTCTAACAAGTTCGTTTTTATTATTATTATTAAATCGGGTTTAGAATGAATGACTTCTCACTCTAAAATATAATTTAGCATGTCTATGGTACAAAAAAATATATAATTTGTCATTTGAATCTGTGACAGTTCAAGCAGTGTTGTCAGTGCTAATTTTATAAAGAGGGTATATTTGTTTTTTTAATTTCATTTTAAATACAAGACTGTATATAAAAATATATTACATGCAGTTATTGTTTTATTTTGTATATATGAGAAAATTAAGGTTAAGTTTTAGGAGACCCATAAACAAAGGCAACAAGGAAGTGTGTGTTTACGCTTTACTAGTAGAGTATAGATTCCACGTAAAGTCACGGCCAATAGCTAGTTTTCGATATCTTAAAGTTATCAGTGGTTAACAATTAACAGTGGTAGTGCCCGCTTTAACATCTTAGCAGTGCAGGGCACGCCCCCAATACCACGACCACAGACAGGCGTGAAGTGGAAGCAATTCCGTGTACAGTCTGATGAGTGTGGTGTCGGAGGCCTAATTTAAGTCTCTTTCTCTTTACCACCCTTTTCTTATGAGAGGATGGGAAGGTGAAGTGGATTTGACGATGAAGATGCATAGGAAGGGGAAATATCCTCTTTATGTGCATCTCCTCTGTCGTATAAGGGTAGGCAACGCATCTGTAATTGCGGATGTCTATGGGCAGTCGCTTCACCACATGTCACATTATGTTATAAAAAAAAATCTAACTTAGATTACTTAATATAACTTACCTGTAAATGTGTATCGATAACTTCAGCCGCATTACTTCCTAATCGGATTAAATTATCTATTGTTGGTGATTTTAAAAATATCTCTACATCGGATTTCACTTCTTCTATACCTGGGAATACAAAATAACATATCTTAGAGCCTGTCCCACATCTGGCTGATAGAGGGTCAGATAGCGAAAAGTGACGTCACTGTCAGATAGAGTACCAAAATCCGATACAGTAGAACCTCGGTAACATAAAAACCTCTATAACTTCAAAAAATATGTTTCCTTCCCATCAGAGCCCAAAACCTCTACAAAGACCCTTGATAACTTAAAACCTCTATAACTTAAAGTATTTTGTTTCTCTTGGACTTTAACTTATCGAGGTTATTCCATCACATATTTTACAGGTACTTAGTCTTACTAATATTATAAATGTGAAAGTTTAGATGGATGTTTGTTTGTTTGTAGCGTAAACTGCTGAACGGATTTTGATGAAATTTGGTATAGATGTAGAGGATAGCCTGGAACAAAGGCTACTCACTTTTTTTTTATTTCACGCGGACGGTATCGCGGGCGAAAGCTAGTAATATTATAAATGTGAATTTTAGATGTTTGTATTCAAAATTGAATGAATCTCTTTAATATTAACACATGTAAATAGTTTGGAACACATATTATCTTACTAATATTATAAATGCGAAAGTTTAGATGGATGTTTGTTAGTTTGTAGCCTAAACTGCTGAACGGATCTCGATGAAATTTGGCACAGGTTTAGAGCATAGTCTGGAAGAACACATAGGGTACTTTTTATCCCGGGAATTGTTACGGTTCCCGTGGGATTCATCTAGTTTTTTAATGTTTACTCGATCATTCTGCAACGGTACAACATATCTTATTGAAATTTGTCACAGATATAAAACAAAGTGTGGAGTACACATGGGATAAGGTTCATCCCAGAGAAATTCCGGTTCCCGGGATACGTAGCTTTTTGTTATTTATATAGTTCGTATGTTTTCTAATACCACGCGGAAAAAGTCGCGGGCAACAGCTAGTTTAAGATACACTAATTTTTCCCGCGACTTTGTTCATTGCATTAAATCTATATTGACTGTTTTACATATAAATAGTAACAAACATCCATCAACCAATTTATTTTTAGTAAATCGATCTTCACAGGACACTAAACCTCCACTAAAGGCACCCTAAGTACTCACCGGAGCTATCCAAGTTGATTTCTCTACTTAATTCAACCACAGTATTGATATGCTGTGCATCTTCTGGGGCGCTGTCTTCTGAAACCTCATCTGAACCCTCGGATTCACCTTCGGAACCCTCACCTGATAGATCTACAAGACATACGTTGAGAGATACCAGCTCTAAAACACCTGCTACTAGCTGTTGCTCGTGACTTCGCGTGGAATTTAAAAATAAAAGATATAGCCTAAGTTACTTACAGAAAAGTAACCTTTTTAATAGTTAAAGAATTTGTGAAATCGGCCCAGTATTTTTTTTAATTAGTTGTTTTAATACATACAAAAATACAAATCTTTCCTCTTTATTATAATAGTATAGATTATAAAGAGGAATGATTTGTATTTTTGTATGTTTTGGAATAACTCAAAAACTACTGGAAAAATTTCAAAAACTCTTTCACCGTTAAAAAGGTAATTTATCTGTAAGATAGGTAATATTTATTAGTTTGACGCGTGCGAAGTCGCGAGCAACAACTAGTCTATACTACTATTATAAAGAGGAATGATTTGTATTTTTGTATGTTTTGGAATAACTCAAAAACTACTGGGAAGATTTCAAAAAATCTTTTTTCATTAAAAAGCTCCATTATCAGTGAGCAACATGGGCTATATTTTTTTATTTCACTCGGACGAAGTCGCGAGCAACAGGTAGTATAATATACAGGGTGTGCTAGACCTGTACTATAAATCACTAAAATCGTTAAAACACTATAAAAAACAGGTTTAAACGTAAATTTCCTTGTTCGGGCAGAGAAAAGATATATCACTGTGTCCCCTACCCTGTCTCAAGTAATACTTACATTCTTCATCACTACCTTCTCCGTCACTCAGTTCAGCGGAGGGACCCAATTTATCCTTCATCGTCTTCTTATTTGTTGAATCTCCAAGACTGTTACCTGCAAAACGGTAGAAATTGGTAGAAAACGGTAGAATTTCAGGACACGTTGAAAATAGAAAATTTCAAATTTGGTAGAAAACGGTAGAAATCAGTAGATTTTAGTAGTAATTAAAAGAATCACTTTTATTAGAATTAAACAGGTTGTATAGTAGAAATTCATGACATGTCAACAATATCAAAATAAAAAAATTGGTAGAAAACGGTAGAAATTAAAAGAATTACTTAAACTAAAATTAATCAGGTTGTGTTTAGGACATGTCGACAATGTCAAAGTAACAAAATTGGTAGAATTTAGTAGATTTTAGTAGAAATTGGTAGAATTACCCGCCAGCACGACTCTGGACAGTCTATCGGTAGAATCAGGTAGTGATGTCACAGCATCTACCACCTCCATACAAGCTTCGCGTCCTATCTCATTGTGGCTTAGGTCTACTGACTGAAATAATTAAAAAAACACATTTGAATACTAAACAAAGGTATATAAACAAAATATATAGCTTGGTATCACTAAAATAATATACTAATATTATAAATGCGAAAGTTTAGATGGATGTATGTTAGTTTGTAGCCTAAACTGCTGAACGGATTTCAATGAAATTTGACATACATGTAGAGGATAGTCTGGAAGAACACATAGGCTATTCAATTTTGTTTTATTTTAATTACACGCGGACGAAGTCGCAGGCGAAAGCTAGTGTAAGAATTTTTAACAGGGAATCAGTAGTTTTTAGGTTTATCTGTTACAAGCAAATAAAAACTATAAAAGACTAGCTGTTACTTGCGACTTCGTCCGCATGAAAAAAATCTTTATAAAAATATAACATACTAGCTTTTGCCCACGACTTTATCCGCGTGTATAAAAAAAAACAAAAGTAAGTAGTTTATATTCTTCTAGAATATGCTCTACTTTGATGTCAAATTTCACCGAAATCCGAAGTCGTTAAAGCTACAAACTCTAACATCCATCCATCCACTGATAACATAGCTTATTAATGGTAAGAAAATTAAAAAAAAATCGGTACAATAATATATACAAAAATACAAATATTTCGAGTTTTTAACTCACCTCCAATAACATAGAATTATCTTTGAAAGCTTTCGCGAGTGCTTTAGCACCTTTACTCTTTAGTAAACAATCTCCAAAGTTGATTGATTTTAATTTTTTTAACCTGGAAATCAAACATTTATTGTGTGAAAGTGCATGAGTGAAATTATAAAAAACATAGCCTATGTTACTCACAGATAAATTACCTTTCTAACGGTGAAACTATTTTTAAAATCGGCCCAGTAGTTTTTGAGTTTATTTGTTACATACAAAAACACATTTTGCCTCCTATTATTATAAAAAACCATTAATAAATAAGCAATCTTGGTATTGGAAAGGGTAAAGACAAGCACGCGATGGTAAAAATTGGTAGGATTTAGTAATAAACGCTTGAAAAATGTAAAATAATTAAGAAATTGTAAAACATACAAGATATTCATGGTAGAATCGGATAATAAACAGTTAACATTTGTATTAAACCATAGGAAACAGTAAAAAAACACTGGGCAACAAATTCCAAGAAATGGTAGAAATTGGTAGTAAACGGTAGGAATTGGTAGAAAACGGTAGGAATTGGTAGAAAACGGTAGGAATTAGTAGAAAACGGTAGAAAACATACCCAGGCAGAGCAGAAGCGATCGCCTCAGCTCCTTTAGATCCAATAGTATTATCGTTTAAATTCAAACAGCTCAAATTGGGATTATTTTTGAATGCCTCCGAGAGTGCTGACACACCTTTGTGGTAAATACCATTTTGTGGCATCGCTATCTCTTCTAATGTTCCCATACCCTGGAAAAATATTGCAAAAATGATTTAAAACCCTCTGATTCACAACATTTATTGTGAATCCAAGATGGCCGACACAAAATGGCGGACGAAATATTACTGCACAATACAGAAATACAAATCTTTTCTATATTACGAGAAGTCGCCCCCAAACTTTGTTAGGGCTTCGGACCATGCGTTACGCCATTTTGACAGCGTGGAATTAAAAAAGCCTATAATATGCGGGTCTATGTCAGCTACCTTCAGTGAAAGTCTGGTCAAAATCGGTCTAGATATTTCGAACATTACCCAAAACTAACGCGACTTGCAGACAGACAGACAGACAAAAATTTAAATGCTATTTTAGTTATCAGCAACATACAATCAAATACATCTTCCTGAAATCTGAAAATTTTCTTTTCATATTACAGACAGTCCAATTTTATTATATGTATAGATATCTTACTAATCTTACTAATATTATAAATGCAAAAGTTTAGATGGATGGATGTTAGTTTGTAGCCTAAACGGCTGAACAGATCTCGATGAAATTAGGCATAGATGTAGAGGATAGTCTGGAAGAACACATAGGCTACTCAGTTTTTTTAATTCCACTTTAAAAATCTAGTATAGATATAGTCTAGTAAGTATATATGTACCTACTAGCTTTCGCCCGCGACTCCGTCCGCGTGCAATTAAAAAAAACAAAAGTAGCCTATGTGTTCTTCCAGACTATCCTCTACATCTATGCCTAATTTCATCGAAATCCGTTCAGTAGTTTAGGCTACAAACTCTAACAAACATCCATCCATCCATCTAAACTTTCACATTTATAATATTAGTATGAATTATGATTTAATTAACTTACCTGAAAAACTCTAGCTAACGCAGTCGCCCCATCATTTTCCAATCTATTCCTTCCAGCTATGAACACTTTTAGCTTACGAGGATGAACTGACAAAGCCTCTGCGAGTAAACGACCTCCAGTTATACCTAGTCCATTGTTATTTAATCGTAGTTCCTAAAAAAAAAAACATCCTATATGTTTTTTTCCATAACATAAAGTGGCAAACGAGCAAGCGGCCACCTGAATCCGCCAAAACAGCGAAGCGACTGCCCATAGACATCCGTAATTGCTGATACGTAATACCCTTATACGACGGAGGAGGAGACGCACATAAAGAGGATATTTCCCCTTCCTATGCATCTCCGCCACCATCAAATCTTCTTCCTCTTCCCAACCTCTCCTTATAATAGGGTGGTAAAAAGAAAGTGACTTAAATAAGGCCTCCGGCACCACAACCATCAGACGAAACACGGAATTACTACCACTTCACGCCTGTCTTCTGTATGGTCGTGGTATTACACTGAGCGTGCCGGCCCTGCAGTGCTAACATGTTAAAGCACTACCACTTTTGAATATAGATAGATAACATACCTGCAGCTGCGAGCAAACATCACTTTGTAATAATTTTGCCAGTCCTTGAACGCCAATAGGTCCGAAAGCATTATCACTTAGTTCCAATACTGAGAGGCGAGCTCCGGCAGCAATCATACCCTCTCCTAATGCACTCTAAAAATATTATGGAGTAATTTAATTATTTTCTACTAGCTGTCCCCGTGCGACGTCATCCGCATAAAATTATGAAAATTCAATTTTATTATTTCTTGTTCATGGCTCTCCCTCAGCGGATTGGGCCAGTATTAAGTTTGTGGTTTTATTAACAATTGTCAAAATGACATGACATGATGACACACCATGGCAACCTTGCTTCCTTAATGTTGGTAGTAACTTATGGTCTCTTTCCCACATTAGGGTTTTTATCCAAAATATTTACCCCATAAGTTTAATGGCGTGAAAATATATAACCTAAACCGTGACGTAAGTGTAGGGCTTTTTATTAAAACAAGGGTTATTCGAAAATGTGTTGTAATTGCTGACATCTTAGGCAACAAAGAAGTGTGTGTTTACGCTTTATTATAATAAAGTATAGATAGATACATAAACTGTAATAAACATTATTTTCAAATACATTTTAAACAATCTTCTCATATTATGCATGGAAGTTACATACTAATAATATAAATGCGAAAGTTTAGATGGATGGATGTTAGAGTCGGAACAGATCTTGATTGTCATAGATATAGAGAATAAATTGGTAGAACAAAGAGGGTACTTTTTAAACTCATGCAGATGGAATCATGAGTGAAAGCTAGTCATACTAATCATACTTACAGTAAAACCTTGATTAGTTAAAGTCCAAGGGAAACAAAATATTTTAAAGTTATCAAGGGTCTATGTTGTAGGTTTTGGGCTCTAATGTGAAGGGAACATATTATTTTTTGAAGTTATAGAGGTTTTTAAGTTAACAAGGTTTGAGTTATCGAGGTTCTACTACAGTAGATTATACATAATAAATGGGAAAAATTAGATGGATGGATGTTTGTTAGTTTGTAGTCAACAACTGAACGAATTTTGATAAAATTTGGCACAGATGTAGAGGATATTCTGGAAGAAAACATAAGCAACTCATTTTTGTGGTTTTTTAATTCCACATGGAATCGCAAGTGAAAGCTAGTTAACAATAAAGTATTTACTAAGTACATTTCATAACTAGCTGTTGCTCGCAACTTCGCCCGCATGAAATTAAAAATATATATCTATCGGCGCGAAAACATTACTTCATCTCATAACGTCAATAAAATA